CGGCACTGACGTCACGCAAGTTGACACCGGAACACCGGGGAGCGGTAAAAAAAACGCCAGGCACCGAAATGAGGCACCGAAATGTTCGTTCTTATTCGGTATGGTTACTACCGTTTATGTCGGAACCGGTGCCCTATTGGTACCGCGTTTCGGTACCCAACCCTACTCCCTATGTTCCTGGAGACCTTGTCTGGTTAAATGACCCCACAACAGCAAAACAAAAACTCGCTCCTCACTGGAAAGGCCCCTTTGAAATATTAGAGTGCCTTGGATCTGATGTGGATTCTCCTGGAGTGACATACAAGATTCACTATCTCCTGGATCAGTCTGATAAGTCCCAGATTGTCCACTACAACCGTCTCAGACCCTACCATGCTCCTGTGCCAGATCGTGGACATAAGACACCTACATGTGAGTCTTTGCAGCCTCAACTCCCTCGTTTGACTGCATTGTCAGGTGCTTTGCCCTTTAAACCTTCAAAGTTGGCAGCCACAAAGAACTACAACTTATCTGGCCACAGCAGTACTCCTCATTAGCCCCTCCTACTGGCCATCCACAACCCCGACCACAGCCCCCAATCCCACTCTCCCCTCAGTCTTGGTCTGCCCCCCCCCCACTCTGGCCCAGTATGCCAGTTTGACACTGTCCCCTCTTCCACTCCTCGAGGTTCTGGTTCTTCGCTACGCCCTGGGAAACGTCCAGTTAGACCTCCCAGATTCCTAAAAGACTATGTTCTGAAGTGACACAGTTGCTTTATTGTTGTTGTTTACAGTTACTTTTTTGTTTACTTGTTTGCTTATTTATTTGATGAAAAACAGGGACGTTTCTTTTGTGGGAGGGGGAGAAAATGGAAGGTTTAGAAGTGGAGTTAATGCATATTTGAAAGTTGTAAGGCTTAGAAGTTAATATAATTTATATTTGAGTTAATTTACTAGAAATGTATTTACAATGTTTAGTCAGTTAATCATTTATATATTTATGTTACACAATTATTATTTACACATTTACATGTTTACATGTTTAACACAGTCAGGATATTCTGCTGAATCTGCCTCTCGGATTCCATCACGTTTACCTCAGTCTAAGTTCTAGCTTCTGATTTGTTAGGTATCAAACAAGGAAGTGGAGTTGTTGTGAGTTGTGTTCAGTAAAGTACCGCTTGAGAAAGTCATCCGTCTCCATCCTGCTGTTTATTCTCATAAAGAGTGATACACCACCACATACCGAACCCTCACATTACACTTTTCATTTGGTAATTTCGTTAAAGTTTTCCATAGGTTTTTGCATTCAGTGTCAAACCATTTGTTATTGTTAATGTATTAAAGCTTTATCTTAACTGTTTGTAAAGCACAGACTGTATAATTAAACAGGGACATAGTGTACATGACATCACCCATAGGTTTCTAAAGAGCCATTGTGAAGCTCAGTGTGGTCATCTCTGGCTGTTGCCATTTTAGCAGTCCTGACTCTGTCTAATCCATAACTGGACATAGTGCCATGTGGGTGGAGCTAGGCAGGTTGAATGAAGCCTGATTAAGTAGCTGCCTGTGATGGCATCCACCTGTAACTCACAGCAATGCCCTTAATTATGCATAACTTTAATCCTTAATATAATTTAAAGGTGTGAGTTGTACAAAATGACCCACTGTACAGTTGTTATGAACAAGGAAATTAGCTATAGAGACCAAAACAGTTTTTTGTACCAGGTTGTAAACATTTATTTGTGCTGTCAAGTTGTACATTTTATTATGGGGCCTTATGAAGATTGACTCACTGCTGGATTCAGCCTAAAGAGGTACTACAGGTTTTTGCCAAAGTTTTCAAAATGCAGGACTTTTCTTTTCCAACCACCAAAATGTAAAATGGTACAGAGAGAAATCCAAAAAACTAAAAAACCTGAAACTCAGCAGAAGAAAGTCGTCAAGTGTTGGTGATCTAATTTCACTTCTACAACGAGGACCAAACATTCAGCTTCTGCTCATCTTACACATCTATCACATCTAACAGATCAAGCCTATTTTGTGACATCTTAACTGTGCCATGCTGTGCCAAACCAGGCCAGCACAGGATGGATTGAGTAGAAAAGAATCAAAAACACATTAAAGTCTCCACCCACCACATAACTACAGTCTTCTCCTCAGGGCTTTAACAAACCCACTTACATTCACTCCAGATATAGACCGGCCCGACTCTGATCTGCTTAACACACTGCAGCGCTGCAATTGAAAATCAATTGAGGGATGATGAATGGCGGCCATTAGGTTGCTGTGGCGCCAGGCGAGATTCAGTAAATAAAGGCCGGTGTAAACAAAGCGAGCGCTGCGGTCTGAGAGCGTCGGAGACGTTCGTTAGCTGTGTCACAGCTGATGAATGGACCAGCTTCGAGGAGACCCCCGAAGACTATAAATTATATTTCCAATGTTAACTTAATGGAGGAACACAAATCATCCATGGCGGCAGGCCGAGGGCAGAAACCATAGAGTCCTGGACCAGAACCAGGAAGAGTTCAAAAACTCTTCAGTCTCAAGAGAGATGTTACAGCTCTCCAACAGTAAGTAGGTATACTACTACCACCCCATTACAATGTACTGAGAAATGTATCTAATTGCATTTACTCAAGTACTGTCCTTAAGTACAAAGATTCCTGCACTTTTCCGAATTGGCCAAACATTGTACTTTTACTTCAGTACATTCATTTGTAAGCTGGAGTTTTTTCTATAAGTCCAGAAGAAATGAAAAATGCCTTTTTAACCCTTTATGATTACATCAACATATTTAACAATGTATGACAAAACATTTACAAAAAAATATGTTCTCTTAATCTTTATATCCAAATTCAATCTTTTTTTTTGTCTTGTAAAAAAAAAGAAACATGCTTAAGTAAGTGTGAACTAACCTCTGTGACCTTCCCCGTATGTTTGTGAAGCTCAGTGTGGTCAGCTCTGGCTAATAAAAAATGGTCAAATCGGAAAGAAGCCTGGTTATTGAAAACAGCCGGTACCCACTCAAATTAGCCACGTCTTTAATTCTGCATAACTTTAATCTTTAATATAATTTATAGTATATAGACGTACAGTTATGGGGAAATTAGCTCTAGAGACCAATAGGGTTATTTCTGCTGTAAAGTTTGAAAACCTCACTAGAGGAACTGCAGGTTTTGCCAACATTTAGGTTTCAAGGTTTTTTCCATCCCCCACAAGGCAAAATGGTGCTGAGAGAAATCCAAAAAACATTTTGTATTACTTCAGTGTTGGCTTGGAGGTTGCTGATTGATCAAAACAACAATGCTAATGTTAGCTTTGTCAGTTAGTTCAACAACTAGTGGGTGTAAATAACAACTAATCTCTTCATCAGAACGAGTTGGTTTTAATTTATCAATGCGTAAATTTCCACTTTGTAAACACTGACATTACCACGTGGCTATGTTTGAATTTAGGAACAGCTGCTGCAATCGGCTCCCGGAGAGCATTTAACATTACAGATTACATAAAACACTGTGACATGATTGACTCGGCAAGATGTGCATTAGTACAACAGCTCAGTCTCCATCGCTATAAACTCAGGTTGGTGTTTTTCAAAGCCACAGAACTTTATTTAAAATCCTAGAAGACATCAAAAAACTCCAAAGATAGAAAACATGTTGGGCTGAATTTTGGGGAAATATGTCTAAAATTAGTTTTATGCCATCAGTCATTTCATCATGCAGGGATTCACTTCATTCAGTAACAACACAGCAGGTCTTTTTGAAGTCGGCTCTTTATAATCTGTCATTTCCATCCAGATGGTTGGATTCTCATTCAGTTCCCACTCGTCCTCCACAAACTCTCATTAGCTGGTTTCATTTTGTGCTGTCAATCATTTTATTTAAATGAGAGAAATTACTTAATTAAATTGTTTACTTTTCTTTCTATTCCTCCAAAGCAGACTGAATTCAAACAGGACCAGCAGTCAGCAGACCTTTTCTCTGACTTCTAGCATTTCCTGGACACATTATATTGTAAATATAGTCTTTGTCTGGTAGTCTACAATGTTAAAGCACCAGTAGGTAGAATTTAGTGGCATCTTGCAGTGAAGTTGCAGAGTGCTGCGAAAAATGTGAATGCCCCTATCTAGAGGGTCCATTCTAGGTATGGCGGTCTGACATGGTAGACTCCGTAGAACAGGACCTGTTCCTGTGTTCACACAAAGCAATGAGACCTAAAAAAAATCAATGCAAAAACATGACTGGGCACAAATCCTTGCCAAGTGACGCCAATGACATAAATTTGGAGCCGCAAATATGCATTTAAGTATTTGTGCGAGTTTAAAATATTGAACTTTGAGGTTGTGAAGTGTAGAAGAGCCGGAGCTTTTGAACAAATAAACACCCGTAGTCACACTGGACTCTGCTTTGATCTGAAGACATTTACTGACACTCTTCTCAACCTGTCTGCTAACAGCCACAAAGGTGCCACCCCCCATTATTACAAAATAAATTACAGCTAAATCTGTTTGTTTTGGGCTCATACTGCCGCAGTGAGTCAGATTAAAAGGCCAATATTTACTCACATAAAAGGACGCAGGAATTTGCTTCATGTTTGTTGTGACATCAAGTAGCAACGATTCCTATTTTCAGGTGATTATACACTAATGAAAACATAGCTATAAATATTATATTCCATTCCTGATAATGGATCCTAAATATTACACACCGAACTTCAAAGGTATTCAGTTCACTGTCTGTAACCTCAGATCTAAAGCTTAAGGCTGAGGGGACCTGATAGGAGCAGAGTCCCCAGTCTGGGCTCAATGCATTGCTCTTTAACAATTCATTGGAGGCTGGAAAAACCAAGTCAGTACCCAAAAGGTATATTTTTAACTTTGTGAGGACCATCAATGAAGAGAGTCCCCACATGGCCCAATGAGAACAGGTCTCTGTCCCCACAAGGTCATTAATACAAACACTCACACTGACACACACAATGATGCCGAGGACACCATAACAGAAAACCATTAAATGGTACATTTGGAGTGTATTTATTCATATAATAATAATAATAATAATAATAATAATAATAATAATAACCAGAATGCAGTGTAACCTTCAGTCAGTCCAACTGATCTGAGAATCTATTGCAGAGAATAATCACAGTTATAAAAATATCTTTCTTCACACGTCCACAGAGTCGCGTCGGTGGCTTTTTTAAACTTTTATTTTATTGCCCCTTCCCCAAAAAATCTAAAGATAAACAACACAGACATCAGACCCCCCAGGGGAATAAATGAAGACATATTTTTTCCACTGCAGAGAGTTGACAGTTCTGACCAGCTGAGACGACTTCTATCACATCCAAGGATCATTTGAAATGTAGACGATTTAATGAATTCAGAACTTTTTACTCACTTGTGTGACCTGTGAGTGATTTTAACATACCAACATGTGACCAGTTCTGAGGGTCTTACTTTTATTGTTATTTATTTTAAAACAATCCAAAGTTATTTTTCTAAAATGCGGCTTTTGCTTAGCAGAGTAATGAAGCACCAAGACCTCGGGGTGGTCTAAATCCACGACTGTGTTGGACCTCCGTCTCTATTCATCATGTGCTATAATTTACTTTTCTGACATTTTATTTATGTATCTGTCCAAAGTCTTGTCTCTGTTCGGGGCTGAGACTACTGGCGGTAAAGGCTTTCCGATCCTCTGTGAAGTTTTGGCCCTAATATGGGTCCCGACCCTCAGGCTGGATTACACTGGATTATATCATCGTTCTGATTTAATTTGACAAACTGTGACTTTGTGTCATAATTTATGATTTTTGATTTACACATTATTTAAGTTTATGAGTGGGGATGGTGTGTGTGTGTGTGTGTGTGTGTGACTGCGCTGTAATCACTAATGCACAGTTTGAGTCCTCTGAACAGAGTTAATGTGATAATGATGCAGTGGAGGATAAGCGGACACCCAGAGGAGCTTCAATAAAAATCTGATTATCAGCTGCACTGGAAAAACACACTGAGAGAGGAAAAGTGTCGCCACAGGGAGGAAAAAAAAATCAACAAAGCATTAAAAAGAAACGATATTTATCTGAGGGTGTAAGTTATCTAATGGATCTTCTGCTGAAAGACTTCTTATCAAAGGCTGAGATGGAAATCAGGATTTATCAGTATTGTGTTGTGAAACTTTTTTTTCCATGAAAGACATTTTTAAAGACACAGTGAATCATATTAAACCACTCTTTATCTCGTGTCGCAGGTCCAACTCACTCAATTCAAACTCAATTATATCCTGCAAATGAAACCCCACCCACAAATACTCTGACATTTGTCACATAAAGAACCTAAAGTTGCTCCAACTGCTCTTTCACTGCGTCTTTGAATGTATTTTCAAGTTAAAATTTTTATTTTTTTCCACAGATGTTGTGAAACCACGTGGATTAAAATGGCAGTCGTGTGGTTTTTCTGTGACAACATGAATACAGGCTGATGTACGGAAGACCATTTCTGCCAGAAAAAGGAATAAAAGACAAACAAAACCAGCAAGTAAATCATACTTCTATATTTTTAAGTCACAATTAAGGTTGAAAGAACAAAAGATTAATCTCTCTTACTGAGTGGAAGAAGAATGTTAAATTAACAATCTGTTTAAACTCAAGTCCTATCGAGTTGATCATGTGAATAACAAAATAAATCCCCCCTAAGAATCCAGACTAATACATACACTCATTGTGATTTTCAGTTATGAGACACTAAGTTAAAATAATGTGACAAATTCCAAATTAAAGCGTCCAAAATATTATTTTAAATTATGTGATAGTGAATCGAGATTGTTACTTTTTTTAAGTCAATTAATTAGAAATTATGTTACATTATATGTAAAACTTATGAGTGACTTTTTAAGTCATGACCAGTATTTTAATTTATACAATACAATCTTTTTTTCAGGGCAGAAATGAGCTTCCATATGAAACATGAGGTGTGTAAGACTCGTTTAACTAAATATATTTTTGTCTTTTTGTGCTTTTTCTTTTAATGAATCCTCACCGTGGATTATTAGTAGAAATGTGTTTTTCAGCAGGACGTGTATCAAACCATCAACTCCCTGAAATTAAAAAACAAAAACTTTTTTAATCTTTCAAACTTGATTTTGAGTTTTTCCACAAATAAAAAGAACTTAAACCAGAACTAAAAATCCCACCCTCATCAAACCCATCAAAATAAAAGAGAAATGTAAAGACTCCCCCCATCTTTATAATATCATAGGAACAATATAAGATTTGATTTTACAATGCATTTTTCTTCCTCTTTTTTCCAAAAGCTGTTTTTGTAGTTTAAGGTAACCAATGGTCTCAGGTAGCATCAAAGTCTCCGTGTCCTTCTGAAAACTCTTGAAATACTAAAATAGTTCTGAGAGACCAAATGCTTGAATCCCACTGGATAAATATCCAGTCCCCGATCCTGCGTGTTGTTCTTTAAATAAATCAAACAGCTTCCTGTCTGCATCCAGAGTTCCTGTCCATGGCTTCTTCTTTGCTGCCTCCTCTTAATGCCATCCAACATGGCTTCCTTTTTCCCAGAATCCTCTTGTCATCATTAAATAAAAAAACAAACAAACAAGAAATCTGTAAGAAACTGATTTTCTGCATAATCAGACCCGGAGATATTTCTGTTCATCGGTTATTTTCTCCTCGGCCATTAAGACGTAACGATGTCTGATGCTTTGTCTTTTTGTTCCGTGACGACGGCGGCGGTCCTCGGCCCGGCGGTCTCTTCCTCTGTGAATCTGAAGGCACTTGATGTCATGGCAGAGGGTGAACTCTCCTCCCCGGTGGGCCGCAGACAGACAGACGTCAAAATAAGATCTGAAGGTATCTTTTAACTCTGTCGTCCGCCCGCTGTAAAATGAGAGACTGCCGGTTGTCCGTCCAGCTCGCGGTACAGTACTGTTGATCTGAGGAGGGGGAGGACTGGGAGGGGTTATGAGTGGGCATGATGGGATAGAGGGGAGGTCAGGAAAGGTGACATTCAAGCTGTTATTTCCTCTTTTTCTGACTGAAGCGCCTGATTTTCTGTGCTTTGTGGCGCAGAGCTGAAACCAAAAGGTCAACAAGTTCCACAGGAGAGAACGGATGACAGTGACTTTACACTAATGTGGCGTCCAATCAAATGCTTTCTCTCTTCTGAGTGTTTCTGAGAGCGAGGCGTGACAGACATCTATGGCCTCACTGCTAATTAACTTCTACTAACTGTACCTGCCGTTAGCGGGAAAACTCCTTGTGTACGTTTAATAAAGTTCTGTTGACTTTCCGTGTTCATCTGAAACATCGTGTAAAGAACAAACCTGCAGTCGGGATTATAGAAACCTTCTTTTCCTCCACCGGTCTTACGGATTACAGGAGCTGGTTCTGTGCATGAAGGAGAAAAGTTGGTGGCCATGAAACGGTTCTATCTACAGGCAGTGTTTGATTTGTCCGTTCTGGGCTCCTGTAGAAAACATGGCAGAAATCTATTCTCATACAAACTGCTTTAATTATTAGCAGTTATCAAATTGTTTCTTATTTCTTACTGTTTTTATTTTTATGTATTGTACGGTGTTCCTCGAGTGCCCAGACGGGCTCCTTTAAATAAAATGTAATATTATTATTATTATTAAAAACCCTCTTAGCTGCCATGTAGCGAGATGCTGTCTGCTCTTTTTAGGGAAAGTTTTTCAAAAACTTAACGCGTCCGTTTTCTTCTTGTGAGTGTCCGATCGGTACTGAGGATGTGCGACTATCAACAGTGAAACTACTTCCATCATCAGCTCTGGAAAAAAGACGTGTTCAATTCTATTTTAGATTTACTAGCCCGAACATTTTTTATTGTATTTTAGCCTGTGCTCTGGCAAAATGATTGCAGTCAATTCAGGAAGTGGAAATGTCTGAGTGTAAAAAGAGTGTGAACCCTGCCGGGGAATCCTCTCTGTAGATTCTTATATTCAGCTGATTAGACACTAATGAAAACAGAGTTATGGATATTATTTTCCATTTCTGACAATAGAGGAAATGTTTGTCTGTCTTCCTGAGAGCGACATGTTCAGATGTCTTAAGTCAGGATGTGATTAGCTTAGCATAAAGTCTGGAAGAAAGGGGGAAATTGCTAGCCTGACTCTGCTCAAATGTCCGTGGTGGACTGCTCCTTTAAGTCATCCCATCTCTATGAGCTCTTTTGACCTTTTGTGTCAGCCATCTTGGCAGGAAGTCTCTCTGTAGTTCATATCTTTGGTAGTTGGGGGGGGGAATGGCAGGGGATGATGGGATTGGATGGGGAGGTGAAGGGGGGACAGGAGAGTCAATGGTTGTGGCGTTCTGTAGAGGAGGGGGGGTCACCTCTGCCGGCCAATCAGAGCCAGACTCAGAGTGACACACAGCTGCCATATATGGGGTGACGAGGGCGGGGCGGGAGACCTTAGATCTGTGTGGGAAACGAGAGAGAGAGAGAGAGAGAGAGAGAGAGTGTTTGACGACTCACATTTTCTGCTGACAGTTTGATTCATTAGTAATTACAGATCAAACAACCTTCGTTAAATGAGAGAAATGTGTAGGATCAAACCTCATTAAAGGACGGACGCTGTCTTTACAGTTTACTCACTTTTGGGGGGAGGGTCTTTACATTCACCCTCCTCAATGGTGACATCATCGATGGCGATATCTCCCTCGATACCCGAACCCCGGACGCCCTCCATCATCATCTGCCAGACAGAAACAGGAGACTGAGCAGTAATCAGATACTTTACTCCAGTAAAAGTACTCATATGATTATTTCCATTACGGATTTATCTGCTGATCATTTTCTTCGTTAATTGATTGATTTTAAAAATACTGAGTGATGACAAACACAGAGTGCTTCCTGTGACTGCTTCACAATAAAAGCCGGTTTAAGTGTTTGAGCTGCAGAAAGTAAATCCTGACACAGCTGGAGACTGAACCGCAAACAGATGGATCACATAAAGTACACAGAGAGATAATGAATCAATATAAATACACTGAATGGTTATTCATTGATTTATACAAATAGTAGTAAGTAAGTAAATTTAATTCATAAAGCACATTTAAACACAGTGTAAACTGAGTGCTGTACAGTGGATAACTAAAAAGACAAATAATACAGAAAAACACATTGGACCAATAGCCAATAATTCTATAAAACTGAATGAATCCAAAATGGGTTTGATATTGGGAACATCTTAAGGATTATATCTTTAAGATGACATTCAGTCAACATCAGTTAAAACTCTTTCATAGATAAGATTTTATTTTTTTCTCTTCTCTTTTTTTGTGCCGTGGTGAACTGAAAACTGAATCCTGCTCAGCCCTCCAAGAGTATATAAAAACATGAAAAACAAACCTCACAAAAGGCTCTCAGACGCTGAAATAAAGTGGGTGTGGCTTGTACCTGGAAGGCTGTGGTTGGATGGATGTTGACCTTGGCTTGCCGCCAGCGGTCTCCTTGGTTACCGGTCAGACTCCAGACTGAGGTGTCGCTCACCGTCTGACCTTTCTGACGCAGAAACACATTCAGAGCTCCTGCGGACAGAAAGCAGCCGGGTCAGGAGTCTGTTGTTGGAGTTATATCCTGCACCTGAGGGCCTGCTGCAGTCTTACCTATGTGCTTCCCGTACATGTGGTAGTAGAAGGCGAAGCAGTAGGTGGGGTTGTTGGTGGCAGACGAGGAGGAGGAGGAGCTCTTGGAGTTCATGTTGAAGATGGGAGACAGCAGCCTGGCCTTGTCTCCATCCAGCCTCGGCCTCGACGTCTCGATGTACATGTAGAAACCTGTGAGACCATCACAACACAGGCCGGGTCAGAGGTCAGCTCAGGGGTTGATAATTCAAACACTCCCTGTTATGAGTTGGGTTGGGTTGGGTCCCAAAGTCTGTACCAAATTACCTCGGTACTACTGACTACCACATTAAACCGGAAGCAGCTTCCTCGTATTTACATATTTCCTCTAGAAACAGGCAGTTAGGGAAGGACTCATCGCGGAAGTAACAGTGTTGAATGTGTGGTACCTCCCCCAGTACGCTCCCAGTGAACAGCAGGTCCAGACCGGGACCAAATGCAGCATCCAAAGCTGACGGGGGACAGTTTGAAGACAGGGAATAAAGGAATGAGAAAGTACTTTTTTTCTGGTTGGCTCCTTGCACCCTGTGGCCGGCTCAGCTTGCGTTAGCTGCAGGAGCTAAATAGCTAACGGCATCTAACATTACTGTTAGCGACAGTTAGCTTCTTTTAGGAACAAGTCCATCTGGAAACTCCACAAATCACCTTGGTACCGCTGTCCTCAAACTGTCCTCTGTCTGTCTCGTTGTACGCTAAAGGCAGCTACACATGTTATTTTATGATTAAATTTCAATATAAAAATACAAAGAAAGTGAGTTTTTGTAAATGTTTCTGCATACGTTGTAACAAAGGTACAATAGGACTGCAATCTTAAAGGATTAATATTACATTTTTTATTTCTTAAAACCCATTACTGAGCGTACAGGATGAGAGAGTAAGGTTGAGTATAGCGAGAAAGAGAGAGAGACTAACGATTCGTCAACCCAGCTGTTTGTTCTCGCCGCAGTGAGTCAGAGCAACAAAATATATCGAACAGCTGAACAGTGTAACGTTTCTGTGTTTGAGCTGCCTAGAGGGTACATATGCAGGTAAATAATGCAAATCAAATGCTTGTAAAGACAGGATTAGAAAAAAACAACCAAATTTAACTGGAATTTTCATCCAATCATTAATGAGACTCTCTGTGCTGGACAGGGAATTGAACCTGTGGCCCTGCCTTGCTCTCCTGCACAGTTTAACCCAGGAGGCATGAACAGTAAAAGCTAATGTCACAGTCCTACAGAGAGCCGCAGCAGTGCAAACAAATCCACCTCCGGCTCAGCAGAAAAAACAATCCTCACAAATTAAATTGTACGAGTGTAGAAAACGCACACGCACGCATGTTTCCTGTTTGACAGCGGATTGCAAACGGCTCAGCCCGAGGCTCGCTTTAATGAGATTCTACTGCAGAGTGAGACGAGCTGCAGAAGAAGAAGAACGGGCTGATTTTCCACAAGGAGACGAACAACAAACTGTCACAGATCAGCTGAATATATGGGGAGTTATTTTATTTACCCGGGGATTAAACTCTGAGCACGCACAGATATTTTATATTTGTCCTCGTTGTGCAGTTAATCCCGAACGAACCAAGCTGCTTCTCGTATTTATAATCAGTTTATTAACACTTATAAAACACAGATATGACAACAATTACAGTGGTATTCATGTTTAATGATTGAGTTGATCTTGGATGTTTCAGTCTCTGATGGATACAAACACACTGAATAAAGCTGGAACAGTAACATCAGAATCAGAATCAGTATGTATCCCTGGAGGGAAATGGGTTGCATTCTGCTCAAGCTGAACCAAATTATAAACAACAATATATACAGAAAATGTAAAAATACGAAGATATAACAAGAAAGCTAAAAGTTTGGAAAAATAAGAAGACGAGCAGAAGCGACTGCAACAGGCTGCAGGTCAACGCCAGCGCACTATAAATACGTTGTTTATTTGCGACTTAAAGTGCTTTTACTTTTATCTTTCCTTTTTCTTTTACTGGAAACCTTCTGCAGATGTTTGGTGAAAATAAACTGTTCTGTTGAAAGTCACAGCCTTTTGTTTAGAAGAGATGTTCTGCTCCTTAAAACCACCAAAGAGGAAGAAACTCTGAATCTGTCAAAAAGATGCTTATTATCTGTATGATTGACTTATTGATCTGATCTGAAACCTTCATGAAGTATGTGTGTATGTATATAGTTTGTATCACTGAAGGAAAAAGGTTGGGAACCTCTGGCTGCTCTGGGATTAATCTTTGATAGAAACTCCAGTGAGCAGCTGATTGATATTTTATATATAACTATAATATAACTATAATATATACAGTATGTATGTGTGTCACATCCTCAGTAGGAACCAATGAGACTTCCTGTAAGTGTATTTCTCTCTCTCAGTCTGACCGGCTGTCTCTCTACCTCAGGGCGGAGTCTGATGGCCAGGTGTTGACAGCCAATCAGATTTGATTATTTGGTCTCTTCCTGCCTGGAGGAGCTGCAGCAGGCGGCCTGCGAGACGACAGGTTGTGACTCGCACTCTGCACTTCGCTGTGTGGCGGTTTTCCACTGGAAGACCAGGACGCCAGCGGTTAATGTGAAATGCATTCTGGGATACGTGACTCCCGAAGAGTCCTCGATAAAACAGAGAGATACTTAAAGTCCCCGTGAAGTCATAATCGATGTTTATGAGTTTTTATCACGTCTGTCTTTGTGCTGTACGTCTCCTGTCCTCCAGAAGTTCTGTTTCAGGTGTTTTCAGGATGTTTCAGATCTATGACCTCACTGAGTACTGTACAAACACCTACTTTATAACTCCATTAGCTAGTTAGCACTACTGTATAACTGTAGAGAGAGTTTCTTGATGGACGGATAGCTTTAGCTAAAGTAGCTAACTGCTGATTAACTAACTGTATCTGCTGTTAGCGGGCGACAGAACCGGGCTCAGTAGCAGGACCGGGATAGAACACAGCCTCCGAGACGGACAGGGAATAACGTTACAGTACCGAGGTCAGTTACAGAGTTTCTGATGGACAGATTCAGAGATCCAAAGGCGCTGGAAGGTAGGTGTTGACGTTAGCTCATAGCGCTAGCTGCACAGCAGTGGGAGTGCAATGCGACGGGGGAAATTTGAATTTAGTTTCATAGTGAATCTTAAAAACACAAAAAAAATGCTACACTCAGCTAAAACATTATTATGGGTCCCAACAATCCATAAAAAGATCCTGGAGGGACCGACAATGAGGACAGGATCTTTGTTTGGATCCCAAACGGTCCTGAATCATTAATATCTGTTTCTTTCCCTCTAACGGACTTCTTCTACGATCACTGCTGAGCTTCAGTGGCAGAATGGCGGGACTAGTAAAACTAGTTTTCAGGATTAAAATGGAACAACATCAGCTGTCAAACTGAAGCTTCTGGAAATGTGTGGACGTGACAGCTGACTGTTCTGTGACTCTTTAAAAGTAAATTAACAGACAAAACTCTCAACTCTGAACTGTCACTCTTCCCTGCAAACTATTTTTTGCTCTGGGACAGATGCTAAAGTTATCTTTGTCTAACTAAAGGCATATTGGACAGTTTGACAGGTCGGCTCACGACGCCTACTTACAGATCCAGTGTCAGTGCTGACAGTACAAAGATAATTCAGTCAGACATTTTCTTCTCCGTAATCAGGCTGTGAACGTCGCTCTGACAGTCGGTTTGTATTTGTGACACGCTGCTTTTTCCTGATAACGTCCTTCTGTCTGTACAGGAGGGAGACGGGACAAACGCCACTGGAAAATGTGGCAATTTAGGAGAAAGTGTTGAAGTGATGAAATTTCCCTCTGTTACTCTTTCTGTCTCTTTAGTCTCTGATCCTTTTGATTGGTTCTTTAGAAAGGCCCAGTTAGCAAACTTCAATCTCTATTGATCTTTTATAGATAAAATATATTCTATACGACATTCGTCACCTTTGGACCTTTGAGGTTGTTTGTGAGCTCCTGTAACGCCCCGATCAATAAAGAGTCTGAAAGCAGGAAGAAAGCTGAACCTGTGTGCGGGTCTGTGTGCAGTTCTGTGTGTGGTTCTGTGTGGTTGTTTGTGGTTCTCTGTGTGGTTCTGTGTGTGGTTCTCTGTGGTTCTGTGTGTGGTTCTGTGTTGTTCTGTGTGCGTACCCTGCTTGGAGCCGGTGTGGTCAGAGCTCGGTCCGGTGTTCGGGGTGTATTTGGTGTCTCGTGTGGCGGCGCTGTGACGGGTCCAGTCGAACTCGTCGGTTTTGTCCTGAGAGAACAAACACATCGCCTCGTCCTCGAAACCACAACGAAACTCCCCTGAACAGAAACACCGAAATACAATAATATTAATCTATCAGAAGATAATCAATAATCAATAACAGGTGAGTGTCCACAGGTACTTACTGAGATGTGGGTTAACAGGAGCTGTGAGGGGAAAGAACAAGAACTCTGTTAGATAAACCCGACATGTTATTGAAGTTCTGCTTATGATTGTATTGATTAGTGTTCAGCCTTTTAAACACATGTTGTCACCGTGGTAACACACCTGTGGCTCTACCTATCCACAGAGCTATACAGTCCAAATACAACCACATACAAACTTCTGCTTCCTGTGTATTTCAAAATAAAACCAGCATTATCCTTTAACACAGTAAAAGCAGAGAGAAAGCAGAGTTACGATCACAGAAACATTAACCTCGTGTTTGTGTTCACAGCCTCAGAGTATGTTAATTTACTGACTACATGACCTTTTACAGCCGTGTGTGAAGACAACAGCCTACAGCACCAACACACACACACACACACACACACACACACACACACACACACACACACACAGTGGATAAGTTGACTAAACACCGACTGTGAGGGATTTTCTCTCTGCAGGAAACTAACGGCTGCCTGGAAGGAAGGAAATCAATTTAAAAACTGATTTGGAAAATGATCCTTAAAAGTGTGTGTGTGTGTGTGTGTGTGTGTGTGTGTGTGTGTGTGTGTGTGTGTGTGCGTTTGTGCGTGCGTTTGTGCGTGTGTGTCCTGCAGGCTCGGCCTCACTCCAGTGCAGAGGAGGTGTGGTGGTTGATGTCACAGTGTGTTAGCAGCGCTAGTTTCGAGTTAGCGCTACAGACAGGCTGAAGACAGGAAGACACACAGAGACACACACTCTCACACACACACACACTGCAGCAGGAACCAGGAGACAAGAATATCAGATTTATTACAATATATAAATTCACTGTTACCGGCAGAGGCAGAAAATAAATAAGTAAAATACTTTACTAAAGTACTTGAAGAGGAACTCAACACTAAAACCTGTTAGTGAGCTTTAAACTGAACTTTTTACCTAATTTATGAAAATCAGTTATAAACTGTTGTAAATCATCCTGAACCTGTGAGTCCACTGCTGACACACACAGAGGAGACAGTCCTCTCTAATCAGAGGAGGGCGGTCCACCAGAGAGTCTGACAGCAGCTGTTCATGGCTGGTTAGCTCTCTTAGCACTGTTAGCTCTGACTACCAGCTCACTGTTCCTGCTACGCTGCTGTGGTCAGTCCGTCAATCACTGCGGTGCCTGTTGAGGCCACGCCCCCTACAGTCTGATGTGTTCTACATTAGCTGAGAGCTAACGGAACTGAAGGTTCTCCTCGTCTCCCTGAGTGAATTTTTCTGCAGTTGTTGGTGCAGAGTTTGACTTCCTGTCTCTCTACAGGCTGAATGAACTGAAACACTAACAGCCTCCTCACTAGTGTAAATAAACTATTTCCATTTGCGCAGATAGAAGACATAGATGAATGAGTGAGGAGTTGTACTACAGCTGCGGGAGGTTGCGACCTGCAGGGCGCCGTCAGGTGGAGGCTTTCACCTTCGCCCGTCGGCTGATGAGCCGTCTGAACTTCCTGTTTGAACCCTGGCTGTGTTTGCCGTGGGGAGTTAATGTGACCATCAGGAGGCGAGGCGTTCACTGACAGTCTGTCAAAACTCAACATCACAGAACAGACGAGTTCTTGTTGTTTTCTGTGTTTGTGTGGTCGCCTCCCGCTGTGAGCTTCCTCTGCGTTTGTTTCTGTTTGTCATCTTCATTTCACTTCTGTATTTCCTGACTTTGACGTTTCTCTGCAGGATTTCTGTGACAGCTCAACAGTTTGCATTTCTTTTGTTCTCTTGTTGTTGTTTCATATAAGTAAAGAGAAGCAGTGCGGCAGAAACCCTGTAATGCTCCACAGGATGATAAAACAACTCTAAAATATCATGTTTAGGTCTAAGGTATTAATTAATAATGACCTCTATTTGCTGTCCCTGCAGAGCCAACCAGGTCTCTATACGTACCCTCATTAACATTACATAAGACTACAGTGGAAATAAGTAAGTACGAAAATAAATGAATACAAAAATGTTTCTTATCTTTCTATTTCTGTGCAAATGTATTAATCTTATTTATGGTTATTTATCTTTAAATCAACCTGTACATTTCCTTTCAAGACTAAAATAATAAAACAAGAAAAACAAACATTTGAAATGTCTCAATAATAGTTTTTGCAAATTTAGGATTTTTGAATTTTCATCGTTATCAAACGTATCTATAAAAGTATAAAACGACGAGAATCTTTTAAGCCAAATCATTTTATGAATATAATAATTTGGATCACAAATGTTCAACCATTATTTAACGTCCAGCTGCTTGAGGATGTCGGGTGTCAACAACGTACCGCTGTATGTGATGATGCGTTCAGTGGCGTCGCCCTCTCCGTAGCGGGTGATGGGCGTGAGGCGGACCAGGTAGGAATCGGGTTTGACGAGTTTGGTCAGATTGTAGGTCAACAGCTCCCCCTTCTGGATGGTTCCCTCCATGGGAATCTCCTGCTCCCACCAGCGAGACTGACCCATCTGAAATACACAAACACATTTTATTAATGAGGACGCTGCAGTGAATCTCATTCAACACTGACCTGATCATTAATATATCAGCTAACAATATATTCTCTATATACAGATACAGAGTCACATGGTGTCTCACTCCCTCTGCCTGTGTTGTATCGCAGCCTCTCTGTGGTTTGTTTCCATAGCTGGTCTGTTTTTATCTTCTACGTCTGTGAATTAAGGATTTATTTCCACCAAACCAGAGTTGGTGATTGTTGGAAACACTAACAGAGACGCTTTTAATGAGTTTTATTCTGTTTCTGTCCACTTTGAATGAAGTTACGATGTTACAATTATATGCAAAGTAAAATCCATATCCATAAGAATCTGGATCCATATCTGATCAGCACTGTTTGACAGTTTGATCTGAGTTAGGTGCGTTGAGCTGGACGGACTCACTGAGAATGAGCTGTCAATCACAAGGTAGCTCCGCCCTAAAGCATACCCTGCTTTATGGTCTGTTTTACTCTAAATGGGACCATCAGTTACTAAATGAACATCATGCTGTATGGAAGAAGACTGAAACTAGAGACTGAGACCAGAAACTCATCAGGAAACTGTTTACTGAGCTCATTCTCCATAAGACTCCATACTATCAGAGTGGAGCTGCCCCCTGCTGGCTGTTAGAGAGAGTGCACTGATTATAAACTGTTAATGGAAGATACCCACTTGAACTCCACTGTAAAAAAAGAAATCCCTATCAGAGACCAGAGGGACTATTTAATTACCAACAACATTCTGTTACTTTATACTCCAATAAACACCTCCTCCTCCTCCTCCTCCTCCTTCATCTCTTCCTCCTCCTCTTCCTTCTTTCTTCTGTAAACTTCCTTCTGTCTGTCTGCATCATCATTGTCTTCTTCTTTTTCTTTTTATCATTTTCTGTCCCATCAGCACTTCCTCTCTGCTCTCTTTCTCTCTCTGCACCACACTGCCCTGTATGAATGAAAAGACAGGCAGGTTGCCGTGGCAACAAGCCCTCCTTCTCCTTCTCCTTATTCTCTAAAGCCAGGCTGATGCTGCAGGAGCCTCAGGTAAAGACATCATGCCCAGCACTGTGTAACATTACATTACTGTCCCGTTTTAACCGTTCAGTTCATCAGACTCTGTGGAATCCTCAAAACGTGTCCTGAAGGGTTTTTCTGTCCACATTCTCAAATAAAGTTCTGTTCAACAAGAAGATTTAACAGAGAGCATTTTCCTTGAACATTTCCTCAAAAGAGCTCCATCTCTACACAATATCAACTCAGTAAGAGACAGAAACCACCCTCTCCTGGCGGTCCAATCAACGTGCAGTGTTTTTCCACTGCGGCTCAGAACTTTACACATCAACGTATAAGAAGATCAGAAAATCCTCCATAAACTGCAGCAGCACACAGCGTCGACATGCTGAAACATCCCTGGGGTCTGTTCATGTTGGACTCACATATCTGAACACAAATGGATTATGTTAGTGCTCTGCAGCATCATTGAAGTCTGAGGAACGGAATAAATGTCTCACAGAGGGAATGACATTATCAAATCACTGCTCTGCAGAGAAGCTTCACATTCCTCATTTTTCCTCCAATTTATTACACTTGATGGAAGGATGGATAAACAGGAGATACTGGAGGAGGTTGAACTGATTCTTTACTCAAGTAAAAGTGAAAAACTATTGGCTCTGAAATGTACTCAAAGTATAATAGTAGAAAGTACTCTCTTGGTTTCTCTTGCTTTTTTCCTTTATTTGACAGGACAGCTTGAGAGACTGGCAGGAAAGGGGGGGCAGAGAGAGGGGATGACACACAGCAAAGGGCCACAGGACAAACCCGTGGCCGTTGCAGCAAGGACCCAGCCGGCGTACATGGGCTCTACCAGGGGACCCTGTGTGAAGGACATCTGTATTACAGCCGACACACAGTGCATTTTTAACAGACACGCCAATGTATGCTAATCCCAGGCAGTTTTTATGTATAGTATAAATGTGTGTATGTGAATATTTCTGCACACTGGGGTCCATAAACAGTGTTGGAGTTACAAATACTCTTTCAATGAGCCCAATTGTATTCATGTCTGATGACACTGGTCCCCACAGTAACCCAGTTTACTGTAGCGAGAGCACTGTTTGTATAAAATGAGCTATTCTGACCTGTAGGATAATCACAGCCTCGTGAAAACTGTACAACCATAAACTAGAGACTGAGGATGGATGGATTTATGGGTACAATGACGCCACTGAGTGCTAACATACTTTAGTTAGTACACAAACTGTAGGCCAGGCTGAGATTGAAAGGAAGCTGACATGAAGAGGTTCACTACTGTATGAAATCATCCAAAGCTGAACCCTGTTAGAAACTACCACTGGATTTATGTAAATTCATAAAACAGCTGCTTCACTGTAGTTTTTATCAAACAAACAGGAGGAAATGATGCATTTGTTGGAGACTATTTCCACAGGCGGATGATTCCACATATGGTGTTGTAGTGAGTAAATAAACTACAGTGTGTGTGTGTTCATGGTGATGAAGGATGATGAAGGTGATGTGTTTCTGATGGAGCTCTACAGAGGAAGAAGATTCTTAGGTTCAGGCTCAACATGAGATTTGTTAATAATAATATGTCGTGCACCGACCTGTCTGATACCGAGTCTGTAGGCCAGGATCCGGTCCACGGCGTTGGGCTCCATCTGTGTCCACTGCAGCTTGAAGCCGTAGACTCGAGGTTGGTTCTCCCACAGAGCGCTGTAGGTGTCGTAGTAAAACTCTGGAGCGTAGGCCTTCCCTGGGTAGACACAAGGGTCAAAGGTCAGACAGAGGTCAGTTCCCTTTTCTGTTTCATGACAACAAAACATGAAATGTGTTTCAGTCAGGTTGGAACCGTTTACTGCGACAGAGACAGGGTGATCACATCCAGTCTGCGAGGGGAGAAACTGGTAGGCGGGACTTCAGACCTCACTCACTCCACTAATGAATCTAAATTCCTGTAACCCATCTCAGAGTTGTTGGTTATTATTGCAAGATAAAGCTCATCATATTAATAAATTATATATATGGACTAAACTGAGCAAAATATTATGGCTTATAAATCATGTGCAACTTGACGGGTTATTCTGCTTTTTTTTATTATTATTAACAAGAGAAGAAGAGACAACTACAACTCCCAAGGTGCATTTCACCAATAAACAGCTAATGGTGAGCTGAAGCTAAAGACTGAACTGGGGAGAAACCAGATCAAATATTGAGCTGTTTCAATCTGTCCACTGTAGGGCATCAAGAATCTGAACTGGTACCAGTTTGTGACTGGTCAGTACTGAAATATCTATAAACTCTGGGACAAATGATTTTATGTAACATTACATAAGCTGAAAACATTCAAAAGGGTGCGCTGAATTTACTGAGAATGCAAAAACAAAGTCCTAATAAAATAACTAATGAATCTTTTCTTGCAGCAAATTATTCTGAGTACCAATAAGTATCGTATCGATAAGTCAACTGTCAGTTTCTGGATCAGATTGAGATGAATTCAGTCATTGGCAACAAAGCAAAGATTAATCTTGAAGATGTTACATGTTTGTTTGTCCAATGAAAGAGAAGAGGAAGACGTGATGAATGAGTAAAAAGACATCTGTGAGTGTGTTAATCTCACAGGCAGCAGATAATAAAGCTCAAGTTAATATGACAGTAAACACACCACCAGGTCTGCTGATGTTCGGGTTGGAGGATTTAACCATTAAAGAAGAAGAACTCACCTGACTGGACCAAGGCTGCATTTCATTAGTAGTTCCACTTCCCCTCGTTCACTTCCCCTCAGCCCTTGGTATGACGTAACAGCATACGTTGCACGGAGGCCACTTGGAGCGCGGAGGGAAAGTGGGCGGGGGAGGAGCGGGGGATTTAAATGAAACGCACTTGCCCTTGGAGTCTACTCATTGGCAGCGGTCGGCGTTATAGCGGCAATGACGTAAACTGTAATGCATTGTGGGTGATATCCACCTCGGAGTGACCATCGTTGTTCACTCGCTCCCTCAGCCCTCCGAGGGTCCATCTCACCAAGTTCACTTCAGTTTTGCAGACAATTGGAACGACACTTATGATGGCGGCGGGGATTCCCCCGAGGGCAAGTGAACGAGGGCGTGTTAAACGACTAATGAAACGCAGCCCAAGACTCCAACATGGATGACCTGATAACACAGAGCTGAGTTCTGATTGGCTGACTCAAGTAACTCAAGGTCAACTTCTGACAGTGTGGACAGAGTTTGCTCAGTCTCTGTCTTCACAGTTCCATACTTTGGTCAAGTGATCAGAGGGGTAATTGGGATTCAGATAACTTGAAGACAACTGAAACTCCTCTGCTCGTGAACACTATGAGATGTGGTCGAAAACACAGCGAATACTGGGCCAAATATTAAAACTCAGAGAACACTGGACCCAATATTGGACCAAACAGAGCTAAACTTCAGTGAATATTTCACAGCAGCCTAAACAAAGTGAACCAGACAGTTAAGGAAGAAACCAGCCTTACTTTTAACTAAGTGAGAAAATGCTGACGACGAGGAGGGAAATAAGGAGAATGAAACGTCAAAGTAAATAACGGAGAGGAAGAGAGACGTCCATTCAGTCTGAGTATCAGTGACCTGCTATGATCTAACGTCAGACTGATGGAAACATGAATAATGCAAACATGAATCTTTCCTGCTGCTTCACCTCAGAGACAGACAAAGGAAAAATGCCAACGTTGAACTTTAGCTTTTTCGTTTGAGCCTGTGAAGGTGTGATGAACAGTCTAACGGTCTGGCGAGTCGTCATTTTGGAGTTTTGTCTCACAGTTTCTGTCAGTTTTACTGCCGTCGTCTCATTGGCTGCTGCAGGATGAGCGAGGTTTAAAATGCCACCGGTGTGTTCACACCTGATTAACAACACAAACTTCACCTCAGCAACGTCAAGCCCGACATAATCGCCATCATTTTCCATCAGCTCTCCATCCTGAGCTTACAACTTCTCCTCTTTAACTGCTTTCTGCTGCCGCCTGCACAACACGCCGCTGCTCGCAGGCCGACCGTGATAAGAGGCTTAAAGCAGCCGTCGGGTTTACAGGAAGAGTCTCGCAGCGCTGACAGGGCGTCTCTGCAGGGGAGCTTTCATCAGGAGAGGACGGAGATACGAGTCGACTCAGCAAGCACTTCCTGTGTGACGTCTGGTTTCACAGAGCAGCTCTCAGAGGAAAAACAGCAGTCTGGAGACTCAGTGACGACTCCACATTTACATTAGAGATTCAAAACAAGCTTTTATAGATTTTTTATAGCTTTTTATAGTAGAGTGATTTTTGATTCTGATGATTCAAATTCAAGGCACCAGTACCAGTTTGGTGTGTGTGGTGTGAAAGCAAACAGATTTAATCACAGTAGATATTGGGGATGTTCCTGGTGACTCATTTAACTGTCGATTAAACTGGAATTTTAATTGAGACTAGTGGACTAGTCTAAAAGTAATACACTCAGAAAACAGTCAAAATTAAGCACAACTGACACAGGGGCAGTTTGATAAATTATAGGCATTTAAATGTCAGTTGGGATGTGACTGAAGCCGACGTTGGCCTGTCACAGATTCTTCATATGGTTATCTGCTCCAGACAGAGCATGGCAGAGCACGCCCATGAAGTACAGGGACCAGGTCTCATTTATGGACTGCTCTGCTCACCAAGATGCATTTGCTGAAAGTGCTTTTTTAGTTGTGAGGGAAGGTTACAGATTTTATGGTTTTTCTTTGATGTCCTACGGCTTCTGTGCTTCAACTCTCAGGGGTTAACAGAGTTTACAGATGTACATTTACTTGCAGTTAGCTAACTGCTAGCTGCTGCTAACTGCTAACAGACTGGGAGCTCAAGGTGGTCCAAAGCTGCATGAATAATCAGTATAAGAAAAATAAGGGTGTTGTTTACAGAGTGACTCATGCAAAGGTACTCAGACTGAGAATATTAAGCTTGATACGAGTAGAATAGGTGCCCTTTGAGGGAATTAATGTAGATAGAAAAAAGACCAGGAAAACAAAGGATTTCAGAAATCGACAAACATAAAAGATAAAATGTCTTTTTGGTTACATAGTCATGAAATGTTCCAAAACATGGATGTCAGTCATCTTTTAGCCTTCATGACCTGAACTGTTAATTCAACAACAGAGAGGAGGCAGCCAGGTATTAAAGGCAGGACGTTTTCTAATCTTCCTGCAGAGAGTAAAGTGTTTGTTGTCAGTTCAGATGTGTGAGAAGATGTGAAGGTTTCCTGAAGCTCTGCACATTATTTATGACGCTTCAAACTCCCTCGAGGAAACTCTCAGTGATTCTCTGCTTGTGGCTGCCAGCACACAGGATTTAAAGATGAGATAAACTCTAATTAACCATCGTGTTCTCGTCCTGGAGATGTAAACATTTAAAGTTTGAAATCAGCTAAGAGTTCCCATCAGACCTCAGGCCTGTTAACAAAACCTCAACAACAGCTGCCTGACCCCAACAGAGGGGAGTTAACTGAGAAACTGGGACTGGTTCAACGTGCTCCGGAGGAACAGGTCTGTCAGGACAAGTCCAAGTAAAGTCTTTTCTGAAATGTCTAGTTGTGTCAAGTCTCAAACAATGTAAGACATGTTTTAGTCATCTAAAGTAATTATAGACAAGCCCAACCGATTTGTTAGAGTTACAACATATATAAAATCTACAATCGGTTTATTTAAGAAAAAGAAAGTCCAATCTGCTCATACCTTCAAGTCAACATCCCATCATGCCCCAGTCATCCCGACCCACCTGTGACCAGGAAGGTACAGCGCCCTGCCCCGGCCTCGTTGGTGATGTCACAGGTGTACTCGCCGTAGCCCTCTCGGTTCAGAGCTCTGACTAGGTAGTTGGTGTCATCGCGCTGGTCGCTGAACTGTCCGACGGTGAGCAGGCGGGAGCCCAGCTTCCACTCGTATCGCAAGAGGCGGGCTGGGTGAGCTCGCAGCAGGCGGCAGGTGAGGCTGAACGCCCGGCCGAGAGCCTGACGGATCTCTGTGTACACTGGCTCCACAGTGGGCGGGACTGTTAAAGAGAGAGAGAGGAAATATGAGGCGATACAGCAAAGAAGAATATCAGAACAATTACCACCACCTTCACAAATGCATGTTGTTTGTCACGCATTGTAGAAACCATAGAACTTTATTGTAAAAGATACTAAATCTGTCGAGACTGAATTCTGCAGAAATCTTTCTTATGATCCATGAGTAGACTTAAAATTGAATAGAGTGAATTCCTCCTTCTGCACAGACCACTCTGTGTCGGATTTACCGGCAGGAAACCGAAGCCGTTAATATTGTCTATGCTCTCTTCTGCTCTACTGCTGCCACTGTCTGGGCTACTGTAGAAACATGGCAATTCAAAATGGCGGACTATAAGAGGACCCGCTCCCTCTGTGGATAAAAACATCTCAATCTAAGGTAACAAAAACACAATGATTCTTATATACTCTTATGTATTAACATTATATTTCTGCCAATGAATATTAATAAAATGCAAAGAGCACATTAACCAGACACATTTCCTTTTGGCCTTTCATCAGTTTAATAATTTAGGTTAATTAGCTACAGCTGATATAATCTGATGTTTGTCATCACCTGAAGGTTTCCTATATTGTTCTCTGCTAATAACACAGAGAAAGGCTGCTTAACCTTGAAGATTAGTGAATCTGCGGTTTTCATCATCTTGGAATAAACTCAACCATATGCACTAGACATTTAGAATATTTCTGTTTAATCAAACGGCACAAAACATCGAGCTTCAATGTAGAGCTGCAACAACAAGATACACAATGAATCTGCTGTCAGTCAGTCTAAAGTGAGAAATCTGAGAGGGAAATCTTTAGCTAGAATAATGGGATGAAAACTGCAGAGGATGAATCACCACCCATCAACTTTAGAAATGTCACAAGTGATAAAGTTATAATCTTGAAGTTTCAATAATAATGTATGAAATTACTTTTTGTCTAAAAAGAAATTGAAATTGTTTAAATTCAACAAAGCTTATTTTTGGCATTCATTTTCAGGACAAAAACATATTTTTGGTTTTATTGGTTCTTTCATTAATTTAGAAAACAGCTCAACTGTGTCTGTGATCTGTATCCTGTTATTGTGTGATTCTGACCTGATTTCTCCACAGGGATCAATAACATTTAATCTAATCTGATCTGATCTAATAATCTGATTTGAAGTTGGAGATTTTCCAGCCACACACACACACACACACACACTTGCTGGTATTAAGACATCGCAGAGGTTTACAGTGACTCTACTCTAACTTCAGTCTCTCCATTTCATTTCATTTTTTCTTTATCTGAACTGTTTGAGCATCTTTGGATCTTTAAGGGATAGTTTGGGGTTTCTGAAGTGGGGTTGTATGAATCACTTATCTATATTCAGTGTAGACACCCTCAGTTTGTAGAAACACATCAAACTCTGAGTCCCAGATGGTTTGTGACACAGGACCATAAGGGAAGTCACGGAAACTATCTAGAAAAGAGGCACTTTCAAATAAATAACCAGCAGGTGATTGGATGAACCATCTGTCTGTCAGTGTCTATCACAGGCGAACATAACCCGATCAGATCAATGAACCATGTAACTGACTGAAGCCAGTTGGGAGAAGAGAGAAAAACCTTCAGTGTCGTTCTTTGCTCTACTTTCAATGAAGAAATACTAGTTCTGATGTAACTGATGCTAGCAGCATCTACACAAACACACAGCTAGCCTTAAACCACGCAGCTGCAGCTCAGTGGATGTTGACTGGACCGAACCACAGTGGTTGGACGCAAGTGTATAGGTTGAAGGCTGACACGATGGATTCTTGTGTGATCTCATGATTTCGAGTCCAGTTGCTTCACGAGGATAAGGAGAGAGTAGGGAGCACAAACATTTATTTTAGCCACAAAAAAGGCCCACATAAAAAAGAAAAATCAATATCAGTTTAAGTACGAGTTAAAGCGGCACGGTCCAGAAAAACACATGCACGATCTCTGAAATCTGTAGAAACGTCAGGTTTAATTTCAGTCTGATCTCGCAACTTGATGAAACAAGTAAATCTCTTTCTGTAAAGTTTAAAATTCAAAGTATGTTAGAAAATGTCTTTAGTGTGTTTAAACATGATTTGTTGAAGTTGACCTGAAGGTTGACTTGCTGTTTTAAACTGATAAAACTAAGAAAATCCAGACTTAAAGAGACTAAATCGAACTGAAGTCACGGCTGCTGTGTTTCATTTCCTGCTCTCTCACTTCACTCTTTAATGAAGCCCAAAATGCCTCTAAAATAACCTTAAACCTCTTAAGAATCTGAAATATTTAAAGCCAGACGGGCGCTCTGCTAAAGGGCACAAAGGCAGAGTCTGAGCTCTGTTTTTAAATCCCTCCAGCAGAACTTCCTCAGAGGATTTCAGCCACATTACAGGTGTCACTTCACAGATTAATGCCCCACTGTCAAACACGGATCAGCAGGCGACCATCCTTCGACCTCTCAGAATCCTCGCTGATGAAGAGAGTACGAACGCTGCCTGGCTCCAGGGACGAGGCAGCGACTGCTCCACATGATTAATTCAGGCTGAGAGGTCGGAGCAGGATGCCACTAATGGAGTTTAAAGCTTAACCGACAACATCACACATTTAAATGGAGTCTGAGGTCAGTCCGCACAAGTCCATGTCCGAGCTTTTAACTGGAATTTCTTACTTAATTATCGAGACCAGACTTGCTCCTCAAGTAATTTGTGGAAGGTTTAAATTGTTTCTCAAGTAAGTTCAAAGCCTAATCTTGTGAGACACAAGTCCTGAGTCCTTCAGGCCAGGTCAAAGTCAAGTCTCAAGTCATAAGACACGAGTCAAGTGTCATCTCAAATAATTATAGACAAATCAAGTTTGAAATAATTCAAACATTTTTTTTTTAGGAAATCTGTCGTTTTATTCAGGTAACGCTGCGTTTCACAGTCGCCTGTTAATGGCATCATATCCCCTTTGTGCCTGCGTCTGCGTTGTGGTTGTCTGCCAGAAGCTGTCATACACTGACTGTTGTCCCATGATCCCACGCTGCTTCCCCACCTCATCAAACATTATATTTTCTTATTGATTTGATGTGAGAGATCCCCTAGTGGCAGAAATTATATATTGTACACTTAGAATTTTTGTTTCCTGTACAATTGAAGGATGTGAAGGTTTCTCTTCTGCCTAAAAGTGAAAGATCTGGAACATGTTGTATAGACTGTAAATCCCTGTGAGTCAACACAGGACGCAATAATCATTTCAAACTGATTCACTTCTAAAATAAAAAAAATGGTGAAAGCTCAAGCAAATAAGTCTGTAGTACACACACAGACACTGAGGCTACAGAGGTAAAGGTCTGCGGTTCATCTTGACCCCCCAGAAATGTTTCCAAGACCTTCCTCCTGTGAGGGAACCGGTCCAGGAACATCTAAAGGTCAGCTGGATGCCTTTGCTCCACGGCGACCTTCAGTCAAGCTCTCCGATTGGACAAAGAATACTTCTGACCCTGCTGTTTAATTCCCACAATGCACTGCTGAGGCTGGTGTTCCAGCGCGTTAATGAGCTTTTTTCTACTGTTTGTATCCTGATAACTTTAGTATGAAAGTTTTTCTCTGGCTGGAGTCTGAGGAGCAGCAGCGAGGACACTTCAGGGCGAAATGAGGAATAAGTTCATTTACATGATAATTTAATTCAGTAAATTAATTTACCCACAGGGGCCCCTGAGGGACCGTCAAGAAAAAAATGACCACTGGTTTCATTTCCTCTTTTATTATGCTGACTATACTGCTGCTTTAAGACTATTCCTAACAGCACTTTCTATATCCTACCATCAGCTTTGAATGTTCAATGTTAAGTTTATATTCTAATAATTAATTCTATAATATTCAGCTAAACAACAGAGAGATTCCCCTGATGCTTCACATTTGAAGAAAATTAAACAGTCCTTACATTTTCCCTGAGTTTGTGGGGACCATAATAATAAAAAAGAAAGAAAACATCCACAGAGGTGTAAAAGCTTATTCAGGAAATGAAACCTTTACACTGCTGCAGATGTTGACTCTGTATTTAGCCGAGAATGGCTGCTGTTGTTGACAGTGAACATTTAGGAATGATATGGTGTTTAATTATTAAACACAACAGTAATATGTTCAGAAACGGTCTTTTAAGCCTGCAGATCTTTTTCTTTTTGTCAGATTGTGGAGGCTGTTACTCTCACACCTCAACAAACTACTGATGTCCCTCTAACATGTTGCGTTGAATCAAATCATGACCATATGGGTGAATCGTATCATATCGCATTGGTAGAGCTACATATTTATCTTTAATGTATCGGGTGGTTGGCGATGCATCGAGGTGCGTATCACACCGGTCTCAGTGACGAAAATTTAAATTTCATTTAGGAAGTTCTGCAGTTTTGCTAAATATTTCTTTTGGGACAGTACCAGCTAATTCTTTATTATTCTATGTCCAGGGGCGGCTCTCGAAGGGTGGCAGTCCTTAAAAAAGAGTATGGTGTGTAATTGAACACATTTATTTAGATTAATAATGAGCTAAACAATTAATATGTATTTATTGATCTGTTATGGCCACATTTTAGACCCAGTGATTGAAAAAATATGTATTTGGAAAAATTACATATCTCTATTCAGTGCTTTGCTAATGTGTCTCTCTAGATCTGCATCCGTCTATTGTCACATGTTTCTAGTATTGTGAGGACGGCAATGTAACTGATGTCCATGTAATCTGTGTTCAGACCTCAACAGGATTTTATTCAACAGCAATGTCATCTGTTTCCTGTCTGTTCACTACAGTGCTAATTTCTATATGAACGCTGACAGCTGTAACTCTTGCACCCAAACAGGTCACTTATGTCCCCTGTAATCCACGTTCCAAAACGACCGTTGGAGGATTTTATACAACAGCGACAGTCCCGTGTCCCTTTTTATTCTTCTGTCTTTGAAGGAATCACTTTTAGTGCTGGAAACTTTGAAACCCAGTGCAGTATGTTCGTCAGAGGGATTGTGGGGCGTCACCTCCGCACATCACTGTCATACCCGTAATCCAGTAAAAAAAAAAAACCAACAGACTGTGAGGGATTATTGTCAAAGTAAAAAAAGACCTACTAACAGCTCATTTGAAATGTTCCTCATAAGCTTTTCTCTTGCAGGTTCATGTGGACTTGATTAGCATATTTAGCAAAAGTCATTAAAGAGTTTAATGGGCACAAAACTGTAGATATGAATGCATTTTGGGTCAGTGTGTTTGTACAACTCTAACATGCTCTGGTGTCATCTCACGTTGAACTTGTTTTCTGCTGATTTCTGCTCTTTTTTTCTTTTTGCTGTGCAGTCTTTCAGTCAGCAGCTTTTCTTGAGGATTAGTGAGGGTTTCTTTGCTTAAATACAGTTGCAAGTGAAATCTGTGTCTGTGTGTGACTTTAACGTTGTTTCACTTATTTCAAAGTAATCCACCTGTAATCTGCCTCACTTTAATCTGCTTTGTGTTGTTGCACAGTGGAAACATACCACTGGAAGTTTAGAGGGAATTTAAAGAGATGTTCTTTTTACATCAGTGAAAATAAACTGCATTTAAAATGTCATTTTAGTAAAAAAGTAAACATATCAGCTGTAAGTAGGCCCGGTATCTACACCAAGACTTTAAAGGTCCAGTGTGAAACACTGAGGAGGATCTATTGTGAGATAATATTAATTGGTATGTTTTCATTAGTGTGTAATCACCTGAAAATAAGAATTGTTGTGTTTTCAAGACGTTTATATCTATAGGCGCAGCAGGTTGCTTTCCCTGGAGTCTGACAGTTGCCCAGAATGGACGAACCAAACACTAAGCTTTCGCGTGCTTCGTGGCCACCGTAGTTTCTGCTACATACAATTCTACCAACACGGGGCACAACATTAACAATATACATTAATATCTGTTTTCTTTGATGAGGATGACATTTTTTATTGTACACAGCTTCTCCATGAGCGTACACAACATATGCAATATTGAATTATCACTGATTCTGTGTGATATCTTCAGACGTTAATCACAAACACTTTCTGCTGAGAGGTTGGGTTGAGAGCAGTGTAGCAGAGAATCCCACACATTTTCTCCAGGAAGTGCAAATATTCTCTTCTCTTCCTCCGTCAACGTCCTCTTAGGTTTCTTGTAGGAATAGTTTCATAATGTTGATTTTAGTTAATTCCTCATCATTCAACAGGTTTTTAATGTTATTGCTGCAGATGATTCTGTTATAAAATGCTTTAATATTTTTTATCTTCTGCGCTGTTTTAACTCTGTTTGACCTCCTCGTCTTACTGAAAGGACAAATGTTATGAACCGAGTTGTTGAGTTTCATAATTAGTGAGCTTTGGTTTGATTTGCGGTGTTCAGGTGTGGGTTCAGTGTCTGTCTCAGCCGAAGACTTCCTCTGAGTTTCTGCATCGATTCTCCAGAGAATCAGAACGAGTCGAGCCTCAGAGGAGATTCACTCTGACAGCCTTTTAGTGCAGCAGAAAGCCGGGAGCTGTGTGTGTGTGTGTGTGTGTGCGCACGTACTTGTACATCTATCTTTGGGAGGACCAATGTGGGTTTCAGACCTTGGAGAGTGAGGACATTTTCACTGGTCCTCTCTTTCGGACAGACCTTCAGAGGTCTGTCTGAGGGTTTACTTTGGTTTGAAGGTTTTATGGTCAGGGGCTGGTTGGAAGGTCCTCACAAGTAGAGAAGTACAAACGTGTGTGTGTGTGTGTGTGTGTGTGTGTGTGTGTGTGTGTGTGTGTGTGTGTGTGTGTGTGTGTGTGCAGCTTCCTGTCACATCCTCTGATGGTATTTTTTACGACGCGGCACCCTGCAGGTTAGATGGAGCGTGACTAGAAGATCACGGATTGGATCCCCGTCCACAGACAGACAGACAGCATGTGTCTGTCAGTGGCTGCCCGCATGCCCTCGAGTGGAGGCGTTGAACCCCCTACCTGTTGGTGTGTGTTTCCACTGAAATGGTGTTTTTATCACACCGATCTGCTGCTGTCCGCTCTGATGGATGTGATACAGTTTGATTGGATGATGTGACATTTTCTCCGGAAGGGATCGGGGAGCCCACGTCACAATGCATTCTGGGTATTTCAGAGACCTGCTGTTGTTTGTTTACATCTGCAGCAGATGTTACATTTGGTTTCAGCTGAAAAGAGATTTTTTTTTACAGAAAAATGTCCAGAGAGGAGACAAAGTGAGGACGAGGCCAAAAATAAAACAAAACAAATTAAATCTTTGTATAACCCATATCTGTTTGTACCACAGGAAGGAACTATAATAGAAGTACTAGAGTCACATGGTGTCTCTCTCCCTCTGCCTGTGTTGTATCGCAGCCTCTCTGTGGTTTGTTTCCATAGCCGGTCTGTTTTTATCTTCTACGTCGGTGAATTAAGGATTTATTTCCACCAAACCAGAGTTGGTGATTGTTGGAAACACTGACAGAGACGGTTTAATGAGTCCACTTTGAATGAAGTTACGATGATCTGAAGGTAAAATGAGTGTTTTTGTCTCTGGAGTCTGGTGGAGAGTGATAGTGATATTACGGCATGATTAAACACTCTCTGCTTGTGTGTGTGTGTGTCTGTGTGTGTGTTACCCACACTGCACCACCAGCTGGATCAGAGCCTCTCTGGGTTTCACGTTGAAGCCGTTGTATTGGCTCGTCTGGCAGCGGTACGTCCCGCTCATCTCTCTCGTCAGGTTGCTGATCCTCAGGACGCCGTCGTAGCTCTCCGTCTCAGCCGAGCCGTCCGGCATCAGAGCCACTGCTGCTGCCGCTGCCCCCCCACTCTCCTCCACCCGGGACCACAGGATGATGGGTTTGGGTTTCCCTGAGACCAGACACTGCAGGTCCACAGTGTCGCCCTCCTGAGCGATGAGGTGAGAGCGCCCCCTGGGGACGGTCAGCTCTGGAGGAACTGCAGGCAGAGAGGCAGCGTGATTACACAACAACATTTTATTAATCTGAATATTTAGATATATATCCACCTAAATATCACTTTAAGTTTCAGAAATAAAGTGTCTTTAGTTTGATGTCAAATTTTGTTGTATTTCTTTGCATAATTTTGAGTTATTGAATGTAGAGCATTATATAATAATTCCAACTCTTTATGTGTTTACTGAACTTTAACATTATTTTATTATCAAGGATAAGTTCTCGTCTTTTTTATTTTACTGGTGGAAATGAGCTTTCATAAGATATTTTTCATACAAGCTTAAAAGCAGTACAGTATTTTTATTATCTATGTATTATCAGAGACCTCAGAATTTTCATCTACCGCAGTTAGAGGGACTGCTTTCACCTAGTTTCCTAGCAGGTAATCAGTGGACTGTAAAATATGATGGTGCAGGGCAGAGACGTGATGCTGAGTGAAGAAAGAAAAAAGGAGGTAGAGACAGTAAACAAACACTTTTTCTTCCATGTTTGATGTGGAGTTTGTCCTTCATTTAAAACACACTGAGAGAGCTGCTTTTTGAGGGAGAAGGAGGGAGGAAGAGTGAGGCTGCTGGACTGTTTTAGCATTTACTTTCCTTATGGGAATGCAGCAGTGACCCGAGCGCGACCTTCTGTTTTAACATGAAACATCCGTCAGCGGGCGTTCAGACTGCGACTGCAGCGACGCTCCGATTGACATACTCCCTCTCCTCCCTTCTCTCCTTCCTCCATGCCTCCTCCTCTCAGGCTCTCTGAATGTTTCCTCCCGTCTGCCAAGGTCACAAACAAACAGGAAGTCAGCCGCCGCCAGCAGACGCTCATCTGCATGACGTCCATCTGAAGGAAAAGTTCTGCTTCTTTTCTCTCCGCACAAACTGAACTCAGAGGTTTGCAACAGAGTTCAAGGGCTGCAGGGTTTTTAGAAGAAGAAGAAGAAGAAGAAGAAGACAAACTGCAGGTGCAGCTTGCATGTTGTTTTACCCGAAAGCAGTAACAGCGGAGGGGAAGGAGACGTCTACATCACAGTTGAAAAGAGTTTTTACGATGCCTAGAGGCTGATGAAGCTTACAGGGAAAATACAGAAACAGATCTCTCTTTGGGAAGTTTTAGGAAAGAGTGACCTATTCCTCTTGTCTCCTGGCTAAATGAAAGTTTTAATCCACATCTGAATTCAAGAGAGAGGACAATACAGACTCATATCTTAAAGTGCACTATTTGCACCCTGCTGATATTAACAATTTAAAACACTGAAACAAGTTCAATTTCACAATTAAATTTGCCGTTCAGTGAACTGCAGTCAGAGTCCTGTTGCATCATCCCGCACAGCCATGACACGACAACCCCACCTTAGCTTAGCTACAGTTAGCTAGCCTGATGCCCCAGCCTCACATCACTCTTAGCTAGTAGAAAGCAACCGTTAGCTTTTTACCGCTACATCATTTATTGTGAGGAAAACATAAGATTGTATCATGGATCACGTTAGCTGGGGAAGCTAACGTTGGCCAACTAACATATCCACTCAGATAGTATTTTGCTAGCGATAATGTTAGTGAGCAAGCAATTTAATTTGGTGAAGTAGCAGATTGCACAACTAAATACCGTTCATCGTTTCAAGCATGTAGGCGAAACTATGGTGGCCACAAAACTTGCTAAAGGTCACTGGCTGGATTTGAATTAGCGACGTTGGAGTCAGGTACATGCATGCACAGTATCCACTCAGCCAGGCACTCCTATTTTTAGTATTTTGAGAATATCTTGACACTAATAATTTTGTAGAAGAAACGACTACTTGCTACTTTTATCAAGTGTTTGAGTACTTCTTCTAGCCCTGCCACAAGCACGACTCACCTGTGGTGGATGAGATGTTGACGTCGATGCTGATCTCGGGGGTTCCTCCGTTCCTCAGAGACGCCACACAGGTGTAAGTGCCGAAGTCAGTGAACTTGAGGTCGATGATGTCGAGGTTGGTGGTTCCCGGTGAGACGTCGGTGTCGGTGTGAGTGATGACCATCCGCTCGGAGCTCCTCAGTGGCCGGCCGTTCTTCAACCAGCTGAACTGCAGCTCCTCAGGCGGCGTGGCCTCAACCTGGCAGCTGATCTTCACCTCCCGGCCGATCTGGATGTTGTCGTCGTTGTGGTACGGGTCGGGCGTGATCCAGAACCGACCTTTACGGAGGCCTACAGGAGAGAGACCAGATATCAGAGATTGTGCTGAAGGTGAAGCTGAAGAATCAAAGCATGAAACACAAAAACATACAAATGTCCAACACAATAATCCAGGTGATCTGACTCATACGTCACTGAAGTTGAATTGACAGTTGGAGAGTAGAGTTGGACAATATGGACTACCCGATAAGTACCTGCGTCTCATGGCCAATAAAGTCTAAGATGTAGTGAGTAAAGATGGATGATTCGATTTTCCAAAACTCTGTTGTAACCAATTCTAACTGACATCACAAGTGTTAAAAACAACAAACAGTAATCTCTTCAAAAGTTCATTTGCATGAACTTCATCAAGCAGAACACTGAGACTGACAGCAGAGTTTCATCTAACCTCATATTTTAAATGATTACAACTAGCCTTCCTGCTGTGGATAAACTAATCTGTCCAAATGAGGCTTAATTATTACTGAAACCATTTGTTCAGTTTAATCCTGTGACTGTCCACAGCGACGTGCTGCTGCTGCCGCTGCTCGTCCTCCAATTTTCATTGAACCTCCTGGTCTCCAGCTCAGTGGTAACTCTTCTCCTCACAGCCAATCATTGTATAGTAGTTAATCTATCTGTCCACTTGTCACATAACAACATATCCTAATGTCAAAGTACTTGCTGGTTGAAACTAATAAAAAATGTAGGTATTGGTCACCCGACTCAGGACATGCACAAACATTTTTAAATATTGTTTTAAATATTGTTATGTTGTATTTAATATTAATTATTATAATGGTCATAAACCAAAGTATTGGACACGTTAAATGACCTAATGATGATATTTGATAACAGACCCCCAAAAGTGAAGCCAAAAACATATTGATCGATTAAGATAAAAATGGGGGTTTCATGTCATGATCGACAGCTGAGCCACACTCGATGATTACTGCACTGGTTTAATTGGGGACTGTTGCAACCTAAAATTCCTGATTTCACAGCAACTTTTCTAAAAACATTGTGTTGCAACTTTTTGGGGCTTTTTGTTTACAATGAAACTGCAGAAGAAAGTGAAAATAATTGCAATTTTTGGTATAAGTGTTCCGGTGAGAATAAAATCAATGGTAGTATGGCTCAACACCTTGACTGCTCTGATTGGTCAGATTTTGCAGGAAAGTTACGGCGATTGGACAAAATTACGAGGTCACGCAGAATTCTCAGGGATTGGTTGAATTTACGTTAATTGTTGTGATTCCAACTTTCTGGAGGGGCTGCATCTTTATATTCAGTCTGTGGTCAGAAACAAGTCCCTGTCCTACTGTCAGTCCCTGTCCTGTACAAACTGAGTCTTCAGTGGACGACTGCAAACAGACCAGAAGGTTGTAGTTCAAATCCCAGATCTGTGTGTGTGTGTGTGTGTGTGTGTGTGTGTGGGGGTATGTGTATATAAATAGCTTCAGTTCGTGAGGCGAGCAGCTGATTGTCCTTGTTCATTAAGATTAAAGCAAGAACGCCTCGGAACAAAACCCTGTGTGTGAGTGTGTGTGTGTGTGTGTGTGTGTGTGTGTGAGTGTGTGTTTCACTGCGTCAGTAAAAGGTCTGTTGCATAACTAGAGGTGGATGCAGTCGCTCACACATGAAAGTCACTGCGCACACACGCACACACACACACACACACACACACACACACACACACACACACACACACACACACACACACAGGCTTGGCTCCAGTACTGTCAGTACACAGTTCTACTTTAATAAACAACAGTCTTCTTTCGTGGATGAAAGCTCTGGAAAAAGCCCCTCAATGACTTCTGTGACCTATTTGCACAGGACTATTATTGTCAGGGGGCCGGGGCCCCAGGGGAGGGTTAGTCTAACAAACCTCAGTCAGATAAAGGATCAATGAGTCCGTAACGCAGCCTAGACATTATGATGTTCCCAACCTTTGCCTGACGATATTTTAGGAGCGTTTGTGGGTTTCAGGTCCACTAATCTGCAACTTCAATGCTTGATGCCACTAAATAAATCCCACACACTGCCCCTTTAATAATCTTAATAATAGTCTGTTATCTTAATTCAGTTTTATCTCATTTGGATCTAATATAATGTTATTCAATGTAATCTAATGTGATCTTAATTAAAACTGAACTTTAACCTGACTCCTAAACTAACCTTAACTAGCTAATCTTAATCTAATCTAACCTTAATAATAATGTAATCTAATTTTAATTTAACCTTAACCAAACCTAAAATCTAATCTCAAATTAATATAACTGAAGGTAATCTGATTGAACAGTTATATAAAGTAATAAAATCTTGATTTAACACTAATTTACCTGAATTTAATCTGATTTAATCTGATCTAAGAACACATTTCTCTCACATCACATCATGTTCATTTACAGAACATCCATCTTCCTCCTCACCCTTCATCACCTCCTCATCCTCATCTGTCTTCACCTCCTATACATCCTCTGACCATTTCTCACCTCCTCTTCCTCCTCCTCCTCACCTCCTCTTTCTCCTCATCCCCTGTCCCATTAGAACATGTATCCACAGACACACACACACACACACACACACACACACACACACACACACACACACACACACACAGGGTCCATTAGCAGTGTGTGTCAGACTGGGAGGACTGGCTGCCTAGAGAGAGAGAGATGCATGATGGGAGTTAAATAAGTAAGGAGGAAGGAGTCGAGCTGACAAGCTGCAGGGTCAGCAGCTAAAACACACACACACACACACACACTCACACACTCACACACACACACACACACACACACACACACAGAGGTGAGTCATGCTGTTGAATAAAACACAGTGGACAGACGAACTATTGTTAAAGGGATAGTTTGACATTTCGGGACATCCTCTTACTCACTGTCATGAGTATGTGTTCACTACAGAGCTCGAATCATGGCGTGGTTAGCCTAGCTTAGCTAATAAACATTTACAGCCTTTTGCTCTCGAGAGCTAATTTCCCCGTTCAGGACGACCGTACGTTTATACAACTCACCGCTTTAATTATATTTAGGATTAAAGTTATGCATAATTAAGGGCGTGGCTGGTTCCAGCAACCAGGTTTCATTCAGCTCCACTTTTGGATCAGCTTGGAGCCGGCTAATAAAGCAGCAGTGGAAATGTTACAGATTGCAGTTTTTAACAACTCCAAAATATTTATCTAGCGCCACCCTCAGGACAAACCATAAATTATTAAGACTCTTTTAACAGGCAGTTTTTCCTTGCCCTTGTCTCCAAGGTCTTGCTCATGGTGGTACTGTTGGGTCTCTGTAAATAATGTTTTAAAGAGTTCGGTCTAGACCTGCTCTATTTGAAAAGTGTCCTGAGATAACTTCTGTTATGAATTGGAGCTATACAAATAAAATTGAATTGAATTGAATTGAATTAAGAAAAGCTACAGAAAATCTTTATTCTCTACCTCCCAGTGTTGAGCAGTTGTCTTTGTGTAAAATGTCCTCAAGTGATGTCACTCGGGTCACTCTGTTGGTGTGGAGTTAGAAAGAAGTGAGACCTCTGGAGCTGCTGCAGGCATAACATTCCCCAGTCTGACACCCAGCTGTTGGCAGCTGAGTTGCATTGTGGGTAACGCAGGCGGCAGGAAACAAGAATGTATGGAATGAAAAAAACTCTGCTTCTGCTGCAGCGATTTTCATCCTTTTTTAGAACAGTCCATCATGTAAATCTGTGAAGAGCTCTTTAATGGAATCTGTCTGGACTATGACACTGTCTGTGTGCTGTTCGTCCCGTGGGTTTGATGCTGTCGTCGCTGCTGGAGGCTCTGCAGCTTATCTCTGCTGTACAGGCTGAGCATGTAGCTATTCAGGAACACGTACTGTCTTTATAAAACCTCCTGATTGGTTCTCATGTGAAAGACTGACGACCGGTTCACCCAGTGCATGCTGGGAGACTCTCCAGCCCCTCAGGTCCCAGAACAGGGCAGGTGATTTAGAGCTGTGGTTTTCAAACTGGGATCATCAGGGGTCCTAGAGTAGGTTGTAGGGGGTCCACAGCAAAAAAGAAGGAGTAGAATATTTGAACTGAATCTGATTTTTTGAGATAACAAAAGAAGAAATCAGCCAAATTGGTTGTTTTGATTGATTCATTTATAGTGATCCCAGTTTGATCATTGATTGACTTTATTGCCTTCAAACCAAATGCTACAGAAAAGACTCCAAGCTGATTCCTTTGGACATTATCTTATCTTTTGTTTTGTTTATCTATTTATTTTTTATATAAGTCCTGCTGTGTGCTTTTTAAAATAATAATCAATCAGAATTGAGACCAAATGTCTTATCGCTCAGTGTGCTCTGCTGATTTTCCGCTCATCCTCTCAGACGCAGACTCGTCTACAAAACTTCACAAAGTGCTGATGATGTTCAGGACGCTTCATCATGACGCTGCAGGAAGCGACGGGAGGAGGAGGATTTGATTTATAAAGACTGAAATAATCTGAGAGCTTAGCGTCTCTGCACAGACGCAGATAAACGCTCTGTTTGTGTGAATCTATCCTGGTCTATTCTGCAGCTGCTTCTACACTGAAAACAACAAGTGAAGACATGAATGTGCCTTTGTGCCTGCAGCGACTAAAGCTGAGGACTCACCTGAACACTGACAGAAACATGAAGAAAAGACAGCGGAGGAAAGCACCTTTCAACAGGTAGACGACTGTCAAAACTGCTCGCAAATCCCAGAGGAACAAAATTATTACGTGACTCCAACAGAAATGACAAAAATGAAGTGAAACGTCCATCTGTTGCTTTGCTCACATCATTGAGCATCACACAGGCAAAAGAAGCAGTCAAGGAACAGTAGCTGTGGGGACACAATGAACTGTTCTACAGCTGCAATGATAATACTTTCAGTCATTTTTAAAGCCGAAGATTCACTGATTTCATCTTCTCAAATTTGCTGCTTTTCATTATGTTATATGACAGTTAAATCTTTGGGTTTGGACAAAACACCCAAACTGAAAACATCACCATGCTTTCAGGCTAGGCCAGGCATAAAGGTCACATCCTTTGACCCTCATCCCTACATAGAAACACATAGAAATAAGTCCACAGGCAGCAGAGGAACAAAGCTACAATATACCTTTTTACTCTCTGCTCACACACACTGACTCACACACACATTTTGGAGAGATTTAATGTATTCAGCATTGAGGCAAAAATTTGAGTATTTGTTTTACAACATTGTGGGGACGAGAACCAGTTGACACGCCAGCTTTATGGGGACGCCCCCCCTTTATGGGAACGTACTCAGTCCCCACAATGTAACCCATTCAAGTTTTAATGTCGTACCTCTGACCAGTATGGTGGTGGATTTCTTGGCGGGATTGCCCACGTTGTTGGACGCCATGCAGCTGTAGGCACCGCCGTCGTCTACGGTGACAGCGGGGATGGTCAGCGTGCCGCCGTTGATGACGCTCCTCCTTGGGAGCTCCTCCCCTCCCGGCCTCACCCACCTCAGGGTGGGAGGAGGGTCTCCACCCGATGCCACACACACCAGAGTGATCGTCTCCCCCGGGTTCACCACCAGGGGGTCGTCCAGGAGGAGCTTAATGGAGGGAGGAGCTGGTGGGGTGGAGGAAGGAGAGAGAGATAATAATAATCATTTACACTTTATTACACTTTAATGCCCTGCGCTGGGATGCATCAGGATTTCATTACATTATTATGCTACTGCAAAAGTAACTATATGATTCTTGTTTAATTAAGTTTTCTGTAAAAAGACTTCAAGACTTTCTACAGTTTCTCAGTCTCATGTTATCTCACATGCAGGTGGGTCTTAGGATCATATATATATCTTTTACATTTTAAAAGGTTTTAAAATATCTTGTCATGTGTAAATAATCCATAGTGTTCTCCCTCCCGCTGCAGAATCAGAGTATAAAAGCTTCCTGTCCGCAGATTCACATCAGAGTGAAATAAAAGCTGCAGAGCGACTCGCTGCCTCGACCAGCTGCACACGATGAGCTGCAGAAAAGCAGCTAAATGCAGAAATAATAATGAGGGAGATAAAAATAGCTGAGTCGACCTCTGTTAAGCTGACATCATGTAAATCCCATCAGCCCCTGGGGCGGGGCGGCAGGATCTACTGTACAGGTCAGAGAGCTGCAGTCTGAGAGAGGAAAATGATTTATTTATGATTTACATTCATCCAACTGTACACGCACAGGTACAGACGGATTAAAACAATCATACAGAGAAAGAAGGATTAAATATATGGAGACCTGAATGCCCATTTCTTCAAGGAAAAGAAAAGAAAGATTCAAAAATTATAAATACTCAAGGAAATTAAAATTATGAGATGAATTAGTATCTTAATAGTGGAAGTCATACATTTCCCTTTTATGTCAAAAATATGAGATATTAATTGGCCTTTTTGATCTTCTATTCCATACTTTTGACATACTATACTCTGTTTTCCATGAGTCAGGCCACTGTTTCATTAGGACCTGCAAACATACTCACACTGTGAGGACTCCAGACTCCATCTGAGGACCAAGTCTGCTCCACACAAGGTCAAACTCTCAACTCAGCCTCAGTTTACAGGTTCAGGGTTAAAGTTCAAACTGTTTGTGTGTGTGTGTGTGTGTGTGTGTGTGTGTGTGTGTGTGTGTGTGTGTGTGTGTGCGTGCGTTACCTGTCCTGTTGTTCAGACTGAAATGGGCGCTCTTGTCTCCGATGCCACAGACATTCCTGACGGAGGAGATGCAGGTATATTCAGCGTAATCTTGAGGACGAAGGTTCTTCAGCTTCAAGATTTTTGTCTCACCCTGTAACACACACAAAAGTGTGTCTTGTTATACTTGTGAGGACCCTCACTGACATACTGCAATCCCCAACTCTTACCCTAAAGCCTTGGTCACACTACATGACTTCCTGTCTACCTTCTCATACTTTCTTCTTGTCAAGAAGTGTGCAACTACCCGGTTTGCTGCTTGCTGTCTGGTGCTGGAGAGAGACTGCTTTCATTGGTTGTAGCTCATTGTGTAGCTCCCTGAAAAAACATATTTTGCTGTCGCCTGTGAGCTCTCTGATCGTGTCTTTGAACAGTTCACACATAGCTATCGTCCTCACTGGAGCGCAGATTTGCCTCTGATCTGGGAGCATTTGATCTCCAAAAACTGTTGGCGAGTGGAAAATCAGGGCTGAAATCATGTAGTGTGAACTCAACATAACCCTGGTTTAAAACTGAAAATCTTCCTGCATATACTACACGCTGTATATAATATATAATATATACTGTTTATATCTTTCACTACTGGACAACAGAGGACAAAAAATAAAAATCTTTCCTGTGTTTAAACTCTTCAGAGAAGTTATTGAGGACAGTTTCTCTTCTGCCTGGAGCTCAGATTATCACTAGTCTAACTGGGACACAAACATCAACATCAACAAAGTTTTCACTCTTCACAAACTAACAGGATGTCCACAGTGTCAGCTCATATTGTCTTACCACCAACTCACTGGTTTATGTACTGGATCAAATGTGTTTGGCACTAACAGATGTGCGTGGGGGGGGCTGTGTTTGAGTGCTATTTGTGGGAGGTTGATGTTTATGTGTCGTGCTGTGAGATGGTGGGTTGTTGTTGTTGTTGTTGTTGTTAGTTAATGTGTCTGAATATTGGGATGGTGCCTATAAATCCATTGGTCTCTAGTTTGTGGTTGTAGTCTCATGAGGTTGTGATCATCCTAGAACTGATTTTATACAAAAGATGCTCTCACTGCAGTGAAATGGTGACTGTGGGGATGAACATCCTCGCACATGAACACAGTTAGGATCACTGGATGCACAAGAGTCTCAGCTTTCCATTCATACCTAATTTATGCATTCCAACACTTCACAGACCCCATTATACAGAAACATTCAAATACGCTAGGTGAAAATAACACCTTTACCGTATACTGCATGCAAAAAACTGCATGTGATGAGCATAAAGTGTCGGCAAACGGGAGACTCGTGGGTCATTTTCATTTCATTTCCATTTTCATTCAGAGATCTCGAAGTCAAGGGAACCCTTTCAAAATGGCCATGCCAGTTGTTCCATCACCAAAATTCAACATCAAATTTGGAGCGTCATTTAATACTATTATTACTTGCAAATATTAAATATAATTTAATATTTCTACAGCCTCTGAAAGACGAGAGAGCAGACAGAGATGTCGGCTGTGGACGTATTTGTCAGCGAGGCAGTACATCCATGTCTGATATACTGTGTTTTATGTATTGTGATTCATTTTGATCAATTCATATTTTTTATTGTCATTTAATTATTTTATTGTCACCTAGTATGACGAAAATGATCAGTTAAAGGTGGCTACTAAAATATGACCAACTGTCACAAACAAAAAAAACAGTACTCTGAACGCTGATTGCTAGCAATGTGTGTATATTTCTTAAATTCTCATTTTTGTGACTTTTTTTGCAGTCAATAACTCACCAATCTTGGTCAAGAGACTCAAGAGAATTATTTTATTTTTTTTATCTTGATGCTTTCGTGGTTAAACAAAATAATTAAAACACAGTTCAAATAAAAATAAATAAATAAAATTACAATTACAGATACAATCTAATGCAAACACGAGATAAAAACAACAGCACCGGGACTGAAAATTAAAAACATTTTTAAACTACAAATAAAACACAAATATAAAACATTGAGTGAGTAACTGGAAATGACATAAAACAATAATTCTGGCTTAATAAGCTTCTCCTCCTCCTTCACCCTGCTCCTCCTCATTTCTCCTTCTCTTCTCCTTCCTCCCTCCCTCTCCTCTTCCTCCACACTTCTCCACCTCGCTGCCAAATCTCTCTTATCTCCTCTGGCAGCCTCGGCGCTGCCTTCCGCCTCACGGACAGATGAGATGAGATTAGATGACATTTAAATGGGATGTTTGTGCAAAGATGGCGGCCAATTTTTTTGGCGGATGAGGAGGAGGAGGAGGAGGAGATAAGTCCCTCATTAGTGCCTACGAGGAGCGAGGGGGGAGGGGTTAACGAGTTCTCGAGCTCGGCGCTGAAGGCATTACAGTCGACAGCGTGAATGTTATCTCTGCTGCGGTATTACACGGCCCACTAACTGGCCGCCTGATTGGCCGGCTTCCCTTTGCTCCAAATTAAATCTAAACCACGGCCAAAAGAGGAGAAAAAAAGCCAAATCTGGAATCTCCATCTGCAGAATTTTTTTTAATCCACAGGAGGAGGAGGAAGAGGAGGAACAGGAGGAAGAGGAGGGCTTAAACTACATGGATGGCTCGGCTTTTCCAAACTGTTGAACTCACTGACGGAGGATGATGAATATTCAGATTTAACACAAGAAAGGAAGCAGGAGGAGGTCGAGTTCCTGAGTGTTGGTACTAACTGTAAGAGAGAAAAATAATGTGGCCCACTGAAAAAATTACCATCATTATTCTTAAATTGGTGCAGTACTTAAATATTCAATTTTGATATAGAACAAGGCATCATCATAAAACTAAAGTAAAACCACATTCAAACATCCAAAATAAACAGCAGTTGTTGGAGGCTGTGTTGGTACATAAATGCATCTTTTTCTCATGTGACTATTATAAGAGAATATATCTTCAACCCTTAGAGACATCTCACATTATCAAACTCCTGAGGACAGTTATTAGGCTCACTGGAGACGAAGTGCGCCTCGCCTGGAATGAGGACGAGATCAGGCAGCAGCAGCAGGAGGAGGCGAGAAAAAGCCACACAAGATCGGTTTGAACTGATTAAATCTTCATTCCACAACGTGAGACAGGAAACAGCTACACTAAGTTAAATATCAAAATCACAGAAAAATAGGAAAATGTGGTGTTTGTGGTCAAAACGTCAGGGTCAAAGAGGTTTTAGAGGCTGCATACATTTTTCAGGTTTACTTTCATTAAAAGGGAGTGTTTTTGTCATTCCTCTTTGCGTCTGGTAAACGTCATCAGGTGGTTTATCCAACTGTTGAGTTTCAAACAAAATACGCACCCAGGTTAAGGTGATCTGAGCAAGGGGCTAAAATACAATGAAAAATAAAACGACAGATTATTTCCCCGATATTTAATAATTGGAATCAATTTCTAGGCTTTTCAAGACTATAAAAAAATGTGTAAAAGAGTGTGCGTATAATGAGTGAAATGTAGTTAAAGTATTGAAAAATTATGTGAATGAAAAACATTTCCCTGAGGAATAAAGACTGTCCTCAAACAAATCTATCACCTTCACTGCAGATAAAGATGCTGTCATATCTGGATATCTGGTTTATAAAATATATTTAAATTCTTACAAAAAGGGAAAGAGAAAACAGAAGCTTCTGACTGATCTTCATTATTCATCCATCCTGATTCATGAAGCCTTAAATGTCACTAAAAAGATGTGGATTTGTTTTAAACAACTCAAAGATTATATAAATAGTTTGAGGAGTTGATGGAGTAAATGGAAGTAAACCTGAGGCTGTGTAAACCCGTTGAGGTTTCAAATGTCTGAGTGAAACAAAAACTGGACTAAAATCAAACTTTTAACTATTTTTGGCCGCAGCTCATGGACCACCACCCGTATTAATCAAGCACCTCAAGATCCCCCGGAGGAATCCCACTGAGAGATAAACTGGGACTAAAAAGACGTTTATTGATGGAGCTTCAACTCGACTCCTGGGAGACGTCATTGTTCTTCTCAGACACAAAGCTGAAGTTATGATACTGTCTTCCTGGTATTTGTGGTTTGGACAGTCAGATGGTAGATGGTAAAATTAAATATAAATATGCTAATGTAAAAAGTTAGATATGAAAAAATATGATGCCAAAATAAAAAAACAGCTCAAATCTCATGAGCGCTGGGATGACAGTTCTGGAAATGACTTTGAAAAACAAAGTGGTGAGAAGTCTTCTGATTGCATAACGCCACCTGTCTCCTGAAATTATATTTATATAAAGATAAACATCCATTTCCTGCCTCTTATCCGAGGCCGGGTCGCGGTGGCAGCAGACTGAACAAGTCCTAACTACAGGACTGTGTTCCAAACTCAAAAGCACAATGATCACAACTATTCTGTGTAATGAGTCACTGGGAGCAGCAAAAGTGACGGCCGAAGGAGGTATGGACTTAAGGAGAGGTCAAAGTGAATGAATTTGCTGTAACATTAATTGTGGTTTATGTCCCCCTGAGTCAGCTGAGCTGGTGACGTTGCGCGTCACAAAAACAGGAAATCAATCCCTGTAAGGCAGCACTGTGAATACATGAATTATAATCAGGACCAGCAATGTCTAAAACTATAGGAAGAAAAGTTAAAACACTAGAATCAGCCAGAAACAGCACTTTCCTTTGTCATGAGAAGTTTGGGCGAATCAAATCAATCGGCAAGATGATCGTCCCAGCTCCAGGAGGTGAACGGGCTCCATACAGGGAGCCATCCAGTCCTCCAGAGTCAGCGAAAAGTAATCCATGCTTCACGTACGATCCAGGTATGATCCGAGACAGGTGTAAAGTGGTAGTATTATCCGAGCAAAGTGCAGGAATGATCGATGACGCAACTGAACAACTCTTATCAGTTACACGTAGTTCGGCTCTCGTTCCTCAGAGGAAAACCATTAAATCAGCAAAATAAAATCACCCAAAAAGACAACCAGCGATGGAATCGGCCAATCACACACCCTCACAATCACAATTTATTACAGACTCAAACTCATCGCTGTACTGCTTAATTAAATCTTAATGACCATGTGTGCTCCTACAGAATATCTCTGACCTCCAACCCCTGCAGCTCCTAACAGGTTAGTTTACCCCCTTAACATCAGCACAGGGAGGGTTGAGGCAGACACACCCTGAGTGACTGATAATAATAAAATAATACTGATAAAAACTGAAGGTGTATTTCTTCACCTGTGTAAAAAACGGCTCGTAGATCTCCACCCCGGAGTCGGAGCCTTGGGTCAGCGCCTCCCGGCCTCTCCTCCAGGTGTAGTGAACAGGTGGGTTGGAGTTGGCGACGCAGCGAAGAAACACCGTCCTCTCAAAGTAGAACTGCTCCTTCGCCTCACCGACGCTCTGATGTACCGTTATTACCGGATCGTCCAGGTCTGAGGAGGAAGAGGAGGAGGGAGGAAAGAGGAAGGGGAGGAAGGAGGAAGAGGAGGAGGAGGGAGGAAAGGAGAGATAAAGGAAGGAAAGGATGGAGAGGAGGGAAAGTTTGTTATAGCACAACGTCAAGTAAGATGCCAAATGACAATTACCATTAAATTCAAAATGGCTGACTTCCTGTTGGGTTTGGGGTATGGGTCCAAGAGGCTTTTTTAAATGTCTTGACATGATACATGTGCCTACAGATTTATACAGTTTAGGGGGCGCTATTGAGCCATTTTGCAACCCCAATGTGCGAGACCCATACCCCTTTACCCCCGTGGCCACAGTTTGTGTGTTTCATGAGTTTCCTTGTTTAAAACACCATAAATGTGATTAATCTGCCCTATGAAAATGAATTGCCTGTATTAGCACTATGGTTCCTGTCTGTGTTTCTCTGGGGAACACAATGAGGACACGCTGTCTCCTCCTGCAGCCTCGCAATTTATAGTTTTCCAAATTTCCAAACAGTGGGGTCAGTTTTCCTGTGGTGGGGGTAATTACTGCAGGACCAGAGGGTTTTTTAATTGGCTGTACACACAGTGAGGTCCCTGATCAGCTGATGGCAGCCGACCAATCAGGCTCCGCCGTGTTAATGAGTCCGGCTATGAAGCCACCGCCAGCAGAGAGGCTAATGGTCGCTAATCCACTTCACACAGGGCGGCGACAAACTCCAACTCGCACACTGAACACATCAGGGCCCAAACAACAGTGGCTGCGAATAAACAGAGGACAACACAATCTGCTGGGAACTCCCACAATGCAGTGCGAGTCCTTCTGTACGGGCTGCAGGTCCGGGCGTGGTGAGGAGTTAATGATTTATCCTGGTTCCTCCTGCAGCTCGATGGTTGTGTAAAAGCCTCCGTGCCCTGAAGGAAGCACTCAGCCGCGGTGCGTTCAGGTACCTCTTGTGATCCTCCAGGATGTTACACAACAACGTCCACAGCTCGCAGATACTGTTTCCTCCTGCTTTTGTTACTTTGGAGGAAACTTTTCGAGTATCAGACGCGAGGGACGTAGCTGTATAAAAACACCCCAAGGACGTCTCTTTACTGGGATTACTGGGATTTTCTGCATGCCAGTTGCAACAATAAACATGAAGGTGAACAGAAGCTTGCAGACCTCCGGGGGGGGAATCACGGCGGCAGAAAAACAGCTCCCTGCTTGCACACATTTAGGTCAACAACATCAGCCACGACGCACACAAACAACAACACAAATGGTTTGTCACATACGAGGAGGTCTCCTGTAGGTCACTGCCCGCTCTTTAATCCACACAGCCAGCTTCATCCATCCCTCCAGAACTTTACAAACCAGTCCGATATCGGAGCCACAGATGGAGCTTCAACACTGAACTTCCTTTATGCTAAGCTAAGCTAACCAGCTGCTGTGTGTGTGTGTGTGTGTGTGGGTGTGTGTTCTTACAGTAGACGTCGACTCGTATGGAGCGGATGGCAGGGGATCCCAGCCCGTTCTCAGCCTTGCAGTAGTAGCGCCCCCCCTGGTGGCGGCTGATATTATCGATCTTCAGAGTTTCGTTGTGCAGCGAGGAGTCGCCCTGGCGGTCCGAGGCTCCGCCCGCCGTCTTAGTCCAACGAATCTGCAAAGAGAGAGGGAGGGGTTAACAGCACCCAGTGCAGACTGGTTTATACTGGTATACTGGTGTGTGTGCGTGCATGTGTGTGTAGCTAACAGGACTCTTGGATGGAAACTGAATTGATGCCAGCCTGTATTAGCCTGCTGCAGATTAACTGTGTGTGTGTGTGTGTGTGTGTGTGTGTGTGAGTGTGTGTGTGTGGTCTAGATTTGTCCTCGTTCAGCATCTGTTGGTCAGTTTTCCATCCGTCCCTCCCACCTGCTCTGTCCCTTCCTCTCCTCCATCCTCATCCTGCTCCTCTCTCTCTCCATCTGTCTCTCTCTATGTCTCTCGTCCTCAGATAGAGAATTCAGAGGGATTTTTAGTTTTTAATTTCTGATGAATTATTAAAATAATCTGGAGCAGAGGGACATAAAACAATAAAATAAAAATATCAATGAAAATAAAAACAATATTGAATTGATAAAAATAGAACGATATATGTAGAAAGGCTCACTACAAACTGTTACAGATGTTTCTGGTGAAAATGTTAATGTTATATATGTTATACATTTACAGATGTTATGTACAGTTACACGTTATAGACTGAGAGATCTTACAGATGTTATTGGTACAGGTGTTACACGTGTTTTAAAAGTTTACATCTTTTCAGATGTTACAAGGATTATAACTTTTACAGATGTTATTGACTGTTAGAGATGCTATAGATTGTCACAGATGTTTACTGATGTCATAGGAAGGTATAGATTGTTATTAACTGTTATAGAGCTCATGGACATCTGCAGATGTTACTGACTGTTACAGAGCATACAGATGTTATAGATATCGTAGACTGTTTTATATATGTTTTAGACGTTATATACGGTTATAGATATTATGAACTATCACAGATTTATATAAATATATAAATGTCACAGGGTGGTAGACTAATTCATATAATAGCTCTCAGAGTTGTTTCAATGTGTTGCTGGTTGTGTCCTTTGGAGTGTAACATTGTTCTGTTCCCTAAGTAGAGTGTAATGTACAGTAGACTGGAAGAGGGCAGATCATTGTTATTCGTGTGAATGTGTCCTGTGGGGCAGTAAACACTCATCTACTGTTATAGGAGGTTCCAGACGTTATGAACAGTTACAGATGAATTTGTGTGAATGTGTCTCTTCTGGGTTTGAATTTAGAGCACAGAAACTTTGCTTTGAACCTCCATCAGCACATTTTCCACCCTGATTCTTTCACTTTCTGTCCCACCTGCTCCATCATCCCTCCCCCTCTCCCTCTCTCTCTCCCTCTCTCTCTCATGGTACAGTCCTCCCACATGTCGGTCGCCCCGCTGCCAGCTGGAGTGAAGTTGACTTTCTATCCGTCTGTGGTGCAGACAGACGGTTAATGGCCTCGAACCAGAGAACTGACGATTAATGAGCTAAAAATACTCAGAGTCCACAGATCCTGGATCTGTGTGACCACACACACACTCTGCAGTGTCTAATTAACACAACGTCGCTGTAGTAGAGCGTAGTAATGCTACTGCAGTGCAGAGGTCGACTGTAACTACTACAGCTACTCGAGTACTGTAAAGTCCAATTTACTTAGTAAGAATTTTGATAATTAGCCGACACAAAGTTAGATATTATACCATGGTCTGACTGAATACTGGATTATGATTGGCTGCAGGGTCTCTATTACTTCCTAATGCAGCAGTTCCAGAATAATGCACTGAATATATATGAATAAATATGAATATCTCATAAGTAGCATACTGTTAGCTCTCTGTCTCGTAGTGTAATGTTAGTCAAGTTGTATCTATGGTTCATCCTTACATTTACTGGAGCAGTGAACAATGTTTCCATTACAGTAGAGCCTTATGGGATGGTAATGATTCTTCCAGGTATTAGTCAGTTCAATTCCAAAACTAAAAATATTAATATGACAATATAAATGAATGATCCTATACTTTTTCCTTTGTCCAGTGACCGCGGTATCCGTAGACCGATGCTGATTGAGGTGTCCATTATCAGGACAACATGCAACAAGTCTTTGAGTTGTTTCTCCTCTAAACTTGTCACATGGTTCCATTTCAACAACTGATCAAATTGTCATTAAAAATCAAAGATTAGAGAAAATCAAAACTTTTTTTCTTTCCTCTCCAGGTATGTTAATAGAGAATAGAGAGGATGGGTTTCCCTGTCTGAGTCTGAACAGTCGAGTCAGCCGCCAACAGATCCAATGAGGACTGACTGAACTTCCTGGTGACAGCTGGCGTCACAACGCTCACATTCGACTGTTGTTTCACTAAATGTTTCTCCAGCTCATTAACACATTACTGTTAATACGGTTCAAAACTGCTCGAACACAATCCGGCTTTCAGTAAAACTACGATTCAGCGCTCAGAGCTGAGAGAGGGAAGAGAGGTGAGGAAGAAGAAGGGATGAAAGAAAAATGCAGAGGAAGCTGAGCTCTGCAGTGACGCAGAGACAGAAAAAAATGTGTGTTTTACAGTGTGTGTGTGTGTGTGTGTGTGTGTGTAGATTGAGACTGTGTGCCAGCAGCTGCTCTATTTATAGCCTCAACAGACTGACAGCAGAGAGAGAGGGGGACTAAAGAGAGAGGCAATAAAGGGAGGAGAGAGAGAGAGATGATGGAGAGAGAAGAGCGGGTGGTATGACAAGATGTAGAAGAAGACTGATTATTGATTAATGGTTGCCATTTTTTATTCTAATTAGTTATGATCCTCGACTTCTGCAGAACTTTGTTTGTTGTAATGCACCAAAATATCTCGTATGTAAGACCGGACCCTCAACATTTATTAAGACATAAATACAAATACAAGTGTGTCTGATATATTTAAAGCATCATTTCCTCATTAAAAAGCATCGACTCCTTCTACCTCATTAAAAATGACAGAATATGCAAATGTTGCTTGTTTTCTAACGTTTCAGAAATTGTCGTCTACTTCAGTGGTTTCCAACATTTTGGCTTCAGGGATCTTTTCTATCATTTTATAAAGTGACGTATTTTATAGACATTTCATATCATATTCAAACCTGTCCAATGAACCCAAACAGTGAACTCTATAAGGACGTTTGCGTAAAAGTTTGAGCTGTATTATGTATGTTTATCATTTTCAACAATCATACAGACTGTATAGTAGGTCTGCCCCCCCCCCCAACAGTCAACTAAACTGTTGATCAGAGGAGTTTTAGTTGACCCACTTTCCATCCGTCTGATAGTTGCAAAAAACTAAAACCCAGTTCAGGAGCTGTGTGTCGTCACCGGGACCAAAGCATCAGAGGACGGCTGCCCCCAGACCACTTACCCATGAACGCATCACACAGGTTGTACGTGTGATTAGAAAAGAGCAGAACTGCTCTGCACATACATCATTCAAAGATCACACTGAAGAAACACTGAGGGAGCCAACAAACAAAGAAATATTACAACTGAACACTCAGACATTTACAGCTGAGCGTTACATAATAAAAAAACATCTAAAAAAACCCAAATCCTGTCCTGGGCTCACATCAGCACATGACTAATAACTGAAATTAAAACCTTTTGAAATAGATTGAGGAAAGCTGTGTGTGTGTGTGTGTGTGTGTGTGTGTGTGTGTGTGTGTGTGTGTGTGTGTGTTCAGGATCAGTTAAGCCTCCACTTGTGAGACTCCAGTTTTGTGGAGTTAATTGACAGTTAATTAAGATGCAGCTTCCAGTCTGCAGCAGAGGATTTAATGAGCTGCAGCACAAACACTTTATGTGCTTTTATTCTGAAATCACTGCTGGGAAATAAACATCATCAACAATAAACTGCACCAACCCCCCCGGACATGCTTTTACACTATTTCTGTTCTGCTAAATCTTTTAAAAAGAAAACTATCTGAACACTGAGCTCGTTTCATTTTGTCCCACTTTATAAGAACACAGTGAAGTAAACAGTGTTTACTGAAGCTGACAGCGTTCCACTTTCACTGCTAGAGTAACGACACAATCTGGGACTCAATCAATAATCTATCATCATTAAACAAACTCTACAGCTATGTTCTATATGGAGCTGATTCAATCAATAATCTATAATCATTGACTGTTTAGATCTTGGTGCTTTTTAACTCTAGATTTGAACCGGATGAAGGATTTTAGTCATCGGACGTCTGGATCTTAAGTTATCAGAGAAACAAGCTGAGCTAACGTTAGCAGCAGCTCGGCTCGCAGCCCCTCCGGGACGTCCTTTGTCTGTCCAACAGCGTGGGAGAAGCAGTGATTGTTAAGGTGGAACTGCTTTATTCAGTGTGTTTAAGGTGGAACTGCTTTATTCAGTGTGTTTAGTGGTTTTAATCAGCGGGTCTGTTTGTGTTGGAGAGGAGGAGACCTCTGTGGATCATTGGGCTCCCGGTAGAAACCTCCTGAACCATGAACACTGAAGGAATCCTAACCGGGAGAAGCTGACTGCAATGACGCCAATGGTGGTGAAGACAACAACTCCCATGATCCCACGCTGCTCCACCACCTCATCACACTTCATATTTTCTTACTGTTGGGATGTCAGAGGCCCCCCAGTGGCAGAAAGAACATATTTTAAGTTTAGGGTTTAATTTCTGTTGAGGGACTTCAGGTTGTTACACTGAATCCCTTCAGATGTTTCCTTTAGAAAGGAAATTCAAACATTTTACAGTTTCCATGGCGACTGTTTGTTTGTTGCATGATATCTGGTGAAAAAAAAAAAGGTAACTTGCAACTTAAACTTGTCTGACCATAATTAAAAGGCAGCAATCGAACAATACGGGTGGAAAATAAACGGCTCCGAACCCTCTTCATCTGTCTGCCTCCTTCTCTCTTCTTCATCAGTCCTCCTCCTCCTCCTCGTGATTGCTCTCATTTATGAAACACAAAGGCGTCGGAGCAGTTCAGCTTGGCGGGAGCTCTGGCACTTACAGCACGCCGCCGGGGATGATGGGAGTTTTTTTTAATGCTGTATGTGCACTGCAGAGTCAATATGGATGAAGAGTGTGTGTGTGTGTGTGTGTGTGTGTGTTTGTGTTTGTTTTATTATATTCGTGAGGTTCATAACCCGGGAGCTCACTGTACTTATAAAAAGGTTTTTGTGGGTTAGGAAAGTTTTACCAATATACCAGTGCTCCTAGCATTCCCAGTGTCCCCAGTGCTCCCAGTATACCCAGTGTTCCCAGTGCTCCCAGTATACCCAGTATACCAGTGTTCCCAGTATACCAGTGTTCCCAGTATACGCAGTGTTCCCAGTGCAGCCAGCATGCTGTTACCTGTGGTCGGGGGTGTCCTGTCACCAGACACTGCAGCTCCAGAGTCTCTCCCTCTCTGATGGTGTACACTCTCTCACTGTAGCGCTCCTCCTCCACGTTACAGGCCTGACCTGAGTGCACGATGCGCACTGTAGGGGGCGCTGTGGACCACAACACACAGATTCAACATGTTCAGTGATTTATAGCAACGTTAATAACACTCATTAATGGGGCGCTCGGTTAGCTCAGTGGGTAGAGCTGGCGACCCATGTACTGAGGCGGAGTCCTTGCTGCAGCGGCCCAGGGTTCGAATCCGACCTGCTGCGTGTCATCCCCTCTCCCTCTGCCCCCCTTTCCTGTCTGTCTTCAGCTGTCCTATCAAATAAAGGCAAAAAAAATACTTATAAAAAATAAAATAAACCCTCATTAATGTGGACACTTCAACACCTGGAACACCTACCAGCCAATCAGAAACAGCGATTATCTGGGCTCAAAGCGTATATTTAGTTTCCTTAGTCCAGGTGAAATGTAAACGTAAACAACAGCATGGCTAGCTACTGATATCACCGATTACTGTACAAACACAACCTTATTATCAGTCTTTTATATGTAGACTACAGACTGTTCAGAGGTAAAAGTCCTCCAGCTGTTTTCAGAGTGGTGACTATGATACGACGCTGTGATTTCACCTGTTTTTACCGCCCTTTATCCATCTGTGCCGACCACCCCGACCCTCCCGACTGTTGAATACTGAGACTGTGACGTAGCTCCAGACGTGATCCTGAATACAAGCTCTCAGTTTATTTCTGTATGAAGTTCTTCATCTGCTGACACGTCTCCACAATTCAACAGTTTTAAAGACATTTTCCCCGCTCTGATCTGCCCCCACACGCCTCACCGCCGCCGAAAACCTGCCGCTGCCCCGCCACATGAGTGGTCTCTCACAGAGCGTCTTTATGTGCCGCAGAGAAAAAAACATCTGATATGAAAATAAAAACAGCTCCTGTGTTTTATTGTTGGATGAACTCGTAGGAGCAGCTGGCTTTGTGTTTTACTGCGCGCTGTTAGGGAGCCGTTAGCCTCAAAACAGACGCTACAGCCTGCAGCAGCTCCTCTACCTGTCGCCATGGGAACCACACAGCGAGCAAGCAAAAGATGCAGTCAAGAACAGCTTCCTCTGGGTGTTAACAGTTTATTTTACAGCGTTTCTGACATTTCGCAGACTTAAAGTTTGATCCTGAGACATGAACGTGGTAAAAACAGGAAGCAAAGTTTAATAACTGCAGTGAAAACGTCCCCTGGAGGTTTAATCACAAGGACATCAGTTTGTTCTAAAGGTCAACAGACTCATTAAAGCAGTTTGTTCAGATTATACAGATTTATATATCATACACTAAGAAAACTGAATTTATAAGTTTAGATTTTTTGTGTGAAACAAGATCCAAAAACTTCCAAAAGTATCTTAAGTTACAAAAACAAAACAAAAGTCAAATGCAAAAGTCCCTTACTTAAAGGTCCAGTGTGTAACAGTGAGGAGGATCTACTGTCAGAACTGTAATATAATATCTATAGGTATGTTTTCATTAGTGTTTAATCAGCTAGAATAAGAATCACTGTGTGTTTGTTAGAATGAGACGTTTGTATCTACACAGGGAGCGGGTCCTTTTCTGGCAGAGTCCGCCATGTTTCTACAGTAGCCCAGAAGGGACAAACCAAACACTGGCTGTAGATATCGGGGTTTGCAATCTGCAACTACACCACTAGATGCCACTCAATCCCTCACGCTGGACTTTCAAGTAAAAGTACTAAAGTATTAGCATCAAAATGTACTTGAAGTACCAAAAGTAAAATTAGCCCAAAGTGCAAAGTTATCAAAGAAATGTAGCACAAGTATAAAGTAGCATTAAGGAGCATCGGATTCAAATATCAGGTTCCTCAGTCGACCCCTGTATCAGTGTCCGTATCTGGAGGGAAAAGTCACATGGGTGCGTACTTATAAATGTTCCCTCTCTCATATTTGATAGTTACCGTGTGCAGGAAGTCTGAGACTAAACCACCTGGAACTGCAGGTCATGTTCGGGGCCAAACACAGTCTGTCTGAACCAGTTCAGCTAATTAAAGTTGTGAAATTATAAATGAGCAGCAGAGGAAAAAGGTCAGCGGGAAATTAATTTTTAATTGACAGGAGGTTCGGCGGCAGACGCCCGGCTGCAGACTGGACCACTAACCCTGATCTGGATTCAGCGGCGGGCCTGCAGGTATGATGTGCTGTTTGTTTGTGTGTCAGCAGCTGCGAGGCGTCCTGCATGTTGAACCACTCGTTTTTATTTTAACACTTCGCCTCTATTTCTGCCTGACCCGCCTGCAGAGATACAGTATTCTGACTGCTGCTGGTTCTGAAGCAAACCACCTTAACATCTGGGATTTAACTCTCACTGGTACAACTCATTATGGTCAGTATTGATTATTTACTCAGCGATTCTCCGGAAAAATAGAGATTACACAAACCTGACCCAAAGTATTAGTATTAGTATTAATATTAGTACGACTGATCCCGACTAACCCTGACAACCTGCTGAAGATCCGATCTGAACGTCACCGAAATGGGACAGAAGAACACAAAAGTATCCTGAACATCACCAGAACCTGGACCTGGTCTGACCTGCTCTGACCTTTGACCCCAATGTGAACCTGAACCTGGTGTTTGTCATCAGAAGAGGAAACGTTTGTCTGCTCATTAAAGATTGAACAACTGAGAGTGAACCAGGAGGAGGAGGGAGGAAGCTAGAGAGGAGGAGAGGAAGCAAGAGAGGAGGAGAGGAAGTAAGAAAGGAGGAGGGAGGAAGTAAGAAAGGAGAGGAGAGGAAGCAAGAGAGGAGGAGGGAAGAAGGAGAGGAAGCAAGAGAGGAAGCAAGAAAGGAGGAGAGGAAGCAAGAGAGGGGGAGAGAAAGAAGGAGAGGAAGCAAGAGAGAAAGCAAGAAAGGAGGAGAGGAAGCAAGAGAGGAGAAGAGAGGAAGAGAGGAGATGAAAAGAAAAGGAGATCAAGAATGAATAGAGGAGGATGAGCACAGGAGGAGGAAGAAGAGGAGTAGAGAAGGATGAGGAGGAGGTGTTGTGTCCTACTTTTCTATTTTTAGGTTCTGAATTTTTTTTTTCTCTCCAATGACTCTGATGTTTCCTGCTGATGTCATCAAACACACACAAACACACACACACACACACACACACACACACACACACAGGACCCCCCCGATGGACTGATTCCTTCCCAGCATGCACTTCAATCAGAGGCTCTGTCTGAAGAGGCCGAACACCTCCGACAGACAGCGAGAACCAGAACAAACAGAACCACAGCAGAGTTGAACTAGAACCACAGTAGAGTTTAACTAGAACCACAGAGGAGTTTAACTAGAACCACAGTAGACTTTAACTAGAACCACAATAGAATTTAACTAGAACCACAGAGGAGTTTAACTAGAACCACAGTAAAGTTTAACTAGAACCACAGAGGAATTTAACTAGAACCACAGGATTTTAATCTGTGTAGAGCAGAGAGAGAGAACAGAACCATAATAAAACAGTAGAACAAGAATAGAACCAGAGTTTAAATCGACCGACGACACTTCAACTGCACGACTGACAGACAGAGGCTGGAAGTAACTAAATACAGTTTATAAAATGTGATATTTTGTTATTAATCAATAAGTCAGTGATTGTAATCATTTAAATGTATCTGTAATGATTTTGAGCTATGAACTTTGAAAGCATTTCTTGCCATTTTAATAATTTTTAAAAAAGCAATCAAATCAATGGATTAATGGATCAATAATCAGCAGATGAATCCATAATAAAATAATCAGTTAGAAAATAGTTGAAAATGAGCTTCATTCATTCAGAGTAATCTAATATCCTTTATAACAGTACAACAGATTAATATGTTATTATGCTCATTATACGCACACACTTTACTGTAATGGAGTATTTTCACAGTGTGGTATTTGCACTTTTACTGCAGTGAGTACTTCTTCCTCCACTGTGGATGAGTCTCTGCAGGATCTCTGCAGCTTCACACATTCTCAGCCTTAGGAGAATAAACTGCCGTTTCCTCTCCAGAACACACAGACGGACTCTGGTGGTGAACAATGACTCGTTCATTGTGTATAAAGTAACATTCACATTGCAGCTGCTGCATAAAACAACACGAGCAAGGATCACTGCGACGCTGCAGTTCTTTAAACGCTATCTGAATCCGGATCTGCCCGTTTCTCTTTTGTTGGAGTTGGACTGACAACGTCCTGCTCGCAGTGCATCAGGTAGATCGGTAGACACAATTATTCATTACTTTTGGAGCTGATCATCAAGAGTTTATTTGAAGAAGAATTATTCTGAACTGAGGATTAAAAGTTCTTTTTGTTATTTCTATTTTTATTATTTGTTTAATTGGACTGAGAACTGAAGAGAAGGTTACATTATTTAATTGGAGGGACAGGAGAGGGATTTCTTTCCTTTTCTGTATTTGAGGAATTGTTGGCTGATGCTGGTTATTTCCTATTTTTATACAGTACAGATTATACAGTGTTATTTCATTAGAAAGAGGAGAGATAATCTAAAGCTGCGATGGTAAACGGACTGTACTTATATAGAGTGCTTTTCCACTACATTCACCCATTCACACACAAATACAGTAATGGGAAAGGTCATCACAAACATTAACTAACTCATTCATACACAGCATCAGGAGAAGTTTGGGGTTCACTATTTTGCTCCAGGACACTTCGACGTGCAGCGGGAGGGGCCAGCAATCAAACCGGCAACCTTCTGATTAGTGGACAACCGGAGCCACAGACGCCCCTGTTAGTCAACAGAAAATTAATCAGCAACTCTTTTGAAAACATATACATTTTGGGTAAAAGCACCAAACGTCTGACGGTTCTATTAGGGATTAACCGATACCGGTATCAGGTACTGGGTCCAATACTCTGCTCATGTAACTGTAATCATAAAACTCAGATACGTTTTTGAAGCAGCATAAACTCTGGAGCAGGTGGAGGAGAAGCAACATCATATTTTAAGAAACCAACATTAGCAACATTTTATTTTTAATTCATACGTTCATTTATACTGAAAACAAGTTTCGTTTTGTTGTGATATTATTTATCCA